CCATGGAAAAAGATGAACCGTCAGAGATTATCCGTATCGAAGGCCAAGGCGAAGAGGGGGCCTAAGGTGGGGATGCATGTCGGAGGACGTGGCGGGCGCCAGGCAAACATTAGAACCCATGGCTCTCTATTACGGTCTCTAATGATATCTCTTTGGTATTTGATGTGGATGGAGATGATGACACATGAAGACAGGCAGAAAAGCGTTGAACTAGCAATAGGTCAGGCGTTGTTGTCTGCGTTCCTTAAATATCCTGTAGACTTTGCATTAAACTTGGCTGGCCTTTGAGGCTGGGCATCCTTTACCTGCTCAGAAAAAAGCAGATTATTGCGAGACTGTCTGGGAAGGTGATGAACCTGGGAGATTTTGATACAAGGAAAAGCAGTATAATACAGTAACATTTTAATAAATTAGGCGATCAGCAGGAAACCAAATACAACTGCATGAGAGATGCTTATGTGCCAGCACCGTAGATCCAAAACAAAACAGTCCATCATGGCACCAACAGATCAACGATGCCACAGCTCACAACACCCATACCAAGAATCAACTCTGAGCTTCAGGTACACCAGGATTATCCGTGATCGCCTCGGGGTGACACTCAGCCGGCGCCAGACTCTTCCAAGGCCCACCATTCGCGCTCATGCTCAAGCACGTAAACTCATTGATATCGCCCGTCAACGTATGTGTTGCAAAGTTACCACAGTTGGGGTCCGTGTAGACATTGAGACCGCAGTTGTCATCGCCGCCGAAATTGATGCCCACGGTATCGAAAGCGGAGTCGAACGGATAGCAGCCGGCAGCCGGAAAGCTGAGAGGTGTTTGGAGTTCTTTGCCTTCGCAGCTTGGGTTAGAGAAGATACCGATAGCCTATATATCTATTTGAGACAAAGTCTTGCTGACGTGGGGCGAAAAAGGTTGGCTTCTGAAAAGCACTTACGGGATTGTGGGGTCCAGGGTTGAGGTTGCTGCTTAGATCGCCACCGATGTTGGCATCGGCGGTGGGCAGGGCATGAGCGCCGGCGCTCAGAGCTGCAAGTATGACGGCGGAGAAGTGCATTATAATCTTCGTCGTCGAGTAAGAGATAATGATATGTTGAAAGGTGATGAGAGCAGATTAAAGTCCTGTGGGCTTCTCGAGGAAAGTTATGGAGGTCAAAGGTCCAAATGGGAGGGAAAAGCTGTGTATAAGGAATCGCGAAACGAGGAAAGCCATCCTTAAAGGGTTTCAAACCAACATGAAACAATTGGTTCGTGACGGTTTCTCGACCTGTTTCCGAAGCCATAACACGGATCAGAGATTGAAACAACATTGAAACGAAACTGGTCCTGAAACAGGGATGTGACGTGTTTAGCATCAATGTGTACTTTGTTTCGCAATAAACCCTATCGCGCAGCGATCGACCGTTACCTAGCATGCGGAGCCAGTGACCTTTAATCATGGGCAAGATTCCACTCGCTTTGAAACAGATGCAGGAACAGCCATTTGTCTTCCGTGTGAACATGCCTATTGGGTAGTATCAAGAAATTGCTGCAAAACTCATGCACAGGTGCTCTATTCGTCGTCGTCTTGTGCGCCTAGCAGAGGCGCCCATTCTCCCGGTCAGAGATGGACGGGAAGTGGGAGTCAATTGTGGATTTTGGATTGATGGAAGCTATGCGAGGGTGTAGGTTATCCCTTCAGGGGATTCATATTTGAGCTTACTGTAGTCAGCTTCTGGGGTGGATGGAAGCTTTCCGGAGTTTTGTGATGTGCTGCTGCGATCGTTGAGACGGCTTCGACCAGGCGACTAGGTTCACATCCTGCATTGGAGATAGTGATAAACTTGAGGTTAGGGAAGGACGGAAGCAGGAAAGTGACTGCGGTGCACTCATTTCCTGCACATATCTCTAACTTCCAGCCCCGCTTATTGGACTTCCTAATGTATGGACAGTCATTCAATCTAGCGGACAGTAAGTCTGTGCATTGAGCAATGATGTTACTGAACTCCATATTCCCTTTCTTACGTCGCTTTCTAGACTAGCCAGAGTAGTTGCACAGTTCGCAGTCTCCAATAAAGACCTTCGTAGGGTAGTGTCAAATTGCCGGGCACTCCAGAGAATCGCGCAACAGCATTACAGGGTGGGGATGTTTAATTTGACTATGCGAACGATCAAAGCTTATTGTTGAGTAGTTCTTCTTCCCCCTCTCCGTGTGCAGCTGCAATACAGGCCTAAACAACAGACGTATGTGCTTGTTGCATGAGGAGAATGACTCGATGTCTTCAACATGGGTACACGCAATGATCTGTTGCAGCGTCTCATTTGCGAGGTCGAGGAGCTGAGGCATCTGTATGGATGGATGATTCAGAGCGAGATGAAGGTAAAGGTGCTTCGCAGAGGCCGAATATGTGAGGGAACGATGACTGAGACCTCTTCGGGATGGAGGGTCGAAGGATATCACAAGCCAATGATACGATGATGAGAGTGTTGAGTCAGTGTAGGGTGTAGAGCGGGAGGTAAAAAAATCTAGCTTCTCCTGACAGTGAGTCAGAGTCCCACGGCATTGAGGTTTCTGTGTCGAGGCTCGGAAAGAGTGGGGTTTGATGTTCTAAGTCACACGTCTGTGGCAGAACATCATCATCGTTAACTGACACACTCGATAGAAGTGCGAAATATTTGAAGTTAGAACGATGAAAGCTCCACTGAAACCTGGCGGCAGCGCTTGCCTTGGAAATCGCCGCGCGCTACACCTTCTTGTAGACCATTCCTTGGCCCATGTAGTCGTAGAGATATGGTTTGCTCCCTCACAAATGATTAGCCTGACAGTTTTGCCCTCAGCTATTTTCTGAAAGGCTCGGTTTGATGTATCTATACACTGATGTAGAATCTATATAGCCTCATCGGATAGCAAGAGAAGTAAATAACCTAGCTCTATGAAAAGATGTTGGTCGAGTACTGAGGGGAAAACCCACCTCACTTGACGGCATCCGATCAAGTGTCTGTGTTCTGTTCGCCAAAAAGTTCTCAGTGCAATCTGGCCGTCCGGCTCAAGCTATAACATTCAAGCGCTCTCAGGCATTGGGAACGGACTCTGCCAGTACATCTGGACCCCAGCACTTTTCCAAATTTTTACTAGGCTCTGAAGCGGGGTAATGCCCTCAAAAACAAACTTGTTCAGATGCGGGACCCTTTGAGATCTCAGTGTCGGCGCATTCAGAAACAAGGCGCCATTTGTCCAGCGAGCATCAGAATGTGTCGGGCACAGCACAAGGTCCTCGAGAGAAGCCGGCAGCAATTGTACCAGACGACGCGCTTGGTCAGTCGATGGAATCTCCGTCTTTTCGATTCTCTTCACTAAATATTTCTGACCATCTTCTCTGTATATCTGGGCCTATTTGATAATAAGGTTTTCTAAAGATGACTCGATGAAGATCATAGTATCTGCTCTCAACTTTCGAAGTCAACGAAACCTGCGAAGAGAACCAACAAAGATTCGACCGGCGAGACAATCTCCATGGAAGTAATATGGGTTTCCGGTCCTAGTAGGGTCAAGGGTGACCAGGTTGTGGCTAGTGTATTTCGAAAGAGCCTCAGCAACTCCGCGAGGGTTCCACTGTTCCTTTCCAAGTTCAGAAACGCGTTGTGATATTTCGGCGTTGTTTGGAGTGCCATAGTGAAACTTGACAATTCTCAAACTTGTGATGGATTTGTGCAAGATGTGAAAGTCCTGTTCGCTCACCATGCACTCCTCAAGTCCGAGGCTGGTTGCCTCTGATTGATGACATGGTACCTCAGGATGTATCAGATGTTCCCTATTATTGAAGCTGTGCAATCAAATTACTCTGCTCGATTAGAATGACGGAAGCCATGCCCAATATGCGACATCCCCAACATTCTGATATGGTGCCTCATCATCATCGATGTTTAAACCTATTAGATTGCTGAGAGCGAGAGCGTGAGTATTATCTGGATCCGATCTGTCTTGCTCTTGTTCACCCGGCTCTTCCGTACTCGGTTCTATTGTAGTCCGGTTGAGCCTGCTTACACAGGCAATCCTGTGGGCCACGATGCCGAAATTCCACACGTTGCTGCTATAATTGCGCTACTTGATGGCCCGGAGGTTTGGAAGAAGAGAGAGAAGCAGGCCAGTAATGAATAACGGATGCTTCATCCTCGAGGTTGCGTCATCCCGTGAGACTGAGAGATATCGACATTCATTCAAACAGACTTTGTATCTTATCTGCTTGTACTGCGAGAAGGAAAGGATGCAGCTCTTCCGCTTCTGCCCGAGATGCAGGTAACGTCGGCAACCAATCTATGATCATCCACTTAGGACAGATGGCAAGTCCGTCATCCATAACAAGGTCGCGCAGAAAGTCAATGGGACGGCTTGATAGTCCAGAATTATCGCTCAATAAGCCCAACCGAACGTTATGACATTCTCTTCGCCTTTTGTGAAACCCTAGGACATTTACAGCAGTCTTCCAAATTATGGAGCAGCAACGTGCAATTTTTTGAATATCTTCATGGTCGATATCACCGATGATCTGGAGCACGAATTCAGCTAGAAGAGATTCCAAGCTAGATTTGATTCTCAACGGGATTCCTTCTAGGGCAGACTTTGGCTCTGACTTGGAGTTGGGTTGGGACTGGGGGCGGCCTGGAAACTAGGCCATTTGTGCAGTCGGGTTGCACGAGCACCAATTTCCAGCGCAATCTTTTACAAAGCGTAGCAAGAAGTCCGTATATATGATAGAAGGCGACGAAGATACCAGGTAGAGGGGCGAGAATTTGAACGAGACTTGTTTGCCTGACGGCACGAGAATCTCTCAGAGAATCAACCGGTTGTTTACCGAGAACTCATAGGTAAACCCTACAGCCAAGACATTGTGCACCCCGGCGCCAGACGATGGGAGAGAGTAGCGGACAAAACTGCAGCGCCCGCGCATTCATTGCTGGATATAGAACTTGTAGTCTTATATTCACTGTAACGAGTCTTCAAGCGGCAACGAGAAGCCTTACCAGGACACGTCCATATCAAGCCCCTTACAATACCACATCTCGCCCAAGGTCTGCGGCTCCAGTCCCTCCCAAAAGGTTTTTGCCAACGCAGGTAGCTCCTCCCGCTTGTGTTTGAGCATCCCATCAGATATTCGCTCTGCATCTGCATACGCCGACATAGTTTGGAAGAGCACAAGCTCTTCCAGCGATGCTGGGAGTATATCCACGAACTGGCGCACGTGTGCCGGTGGGTATCCCTCCGCCTCATTCATAATTCGTACGAAAGGCTCGTCTGTCAGGTACGTCAGAACGTATGTGATAAAGAGTTTTTCTACTTCCGATTCGACGAAGACCATAGTGTCTGCTCTTAGCTTCTCCAGCCTACGGGATCGTTTGAGAGAACCGACAAAGATTCTGCCAGCGAAGCGATGCCCGTGAGATATTTTTGATTGTCAGTCATCGTCGAATCCAATACGGCGAGGCTGTGGCGAGCGTGAGTGAATAGAATATCAATGACTGCGCGAATGTTCCATTCTTCGTATCCAAGTCGAGATGCTCGACAAAAGCCCTCAGAGTTGTTCGGAAAGCCGTACTCAGATTTGAATGTGTGTAGGTCCTTGATAGCGCAAAGCAGAGTATCGAGATCGTTGTCGTTGATCATACTTTCTGTGACCTCGAGAGCAATTACGTTGGACTTTCGCGCTAGCAGATCTTCATCTACTGGATCCTCGGCGTCCTGAAAACTATGCACATCTGCATCTTGGATCAATCATAATGACGGAAGACATGCCCATTGGGTAAGCAGTGTGAAGTCTGCGCGTCCCCCTTGCGTATTGTAGAAGCTGATGGTAACCACTTTGCTGAGTGCGTGACTCGCATGGGGCTCATTTCTGCTGGCTTGCATCGCTCGAATCATGTTTTTGATACTAGACTCAGTCACGCTCTGATCGTGGAACCCGATCTAGCGGAGGGTTGGAAGATGTTTGAAGAGAAGATTGAGATGACTTTCCAGCTTTAGCACCTCGTCTATGGCTTCCGGGTACTTTGAAGCCGGATAGTATCGAGACTTCAAGAATCAATCCTGCGCAGTATTGGGCCATGAAGGCAGATTATGTGTAGCGGACAGAAGCAACATGCTGCTTGCCAAAGAAACGGACGGAAAGGCATCATCTAGGCAGTCGGTGTGGCAACATTGTCTTGCTATTCTCGCTCAACCACCGAATTTGATTGTCTTACGGAAAACGGACCGGTAAAGACGAGCATCATTCGGGAGATCAACCCGTGAGTAATCAAGCTGTATGGAACACATGCCTTTGAGAAATACAGCACGGAATTGTTCATCACTTTGGGGCACTAGGGAAGACTGCGAGCAAAGGGCGAGGGACCACTCAAGCTCCTAGCGCTAGAAAGAAAAAGAGGACTGTTCACCATTACTGCTTGAGCTAGTCGTGCACTTGTACATCGGCATGGGCGAGTGCCGCCTTCTGTGCCGAGAGTGCATTTCCACCCTCGAAAGTCAACTTCTTCAGCTTGGCCAACCTCCCTGGTAGTCGCTTAGATATGGGTTCAATGGTGGAAAGTTGTGGTCGTCAAGAGGGGCGTCATCTGCTCAAGGGATGCCGGCAATGAGACCTCCGGTCGATGTACTTGACCGACTGTATTGATCGCATCGTGGATATATTTATCAACAAGGTTCTTGCGTTCTTTGGCCGCAAATGCGCAGTGGTGATTTCCCTTGCATACGTTCATTTGGCGTGCAGTCTCGAACTCTTCATCAACCGCCTTGAAGGTATTCTCTTCCGGGGAAGATTCGATGAAGGGCAATGTGTCGGCTTTCAGCTTTTCCAAGACCCTGAAGCTCCTCAGATCGCCCGGGACAAAGACCTGACCAGCATTGAAGCTGCCACGGCGTACCTCGGTATTCGAAGTCCTGGAGACTGGCCTGAGACCCCAAGGCTCTATCCGATCATCGAGCAGCACATCTTGGAGCGCAAAGGTCCGATGCGAAGAGGGGAGATTCTGGGAGCTATCCTGGCGAGTCTCGCTGCAGAGGTTGACAACCTCCGAGATGCAGTGTGCTTTTGGTCTCTGATGTTCTTCGAGCACAGGCTAAGGTTCTCCATGCTCTGGTAAGAGGTCTCGTGGAGAATCTGAAACGATGATCTGTTAGGAACTTTGAGGAGCTATATCATCTTGCCTGACAGGCATCCTATCACCAGCATCCCAAAAGAGAGAGAGAAAAGACCATGTGGGTAAGAATTCGATTCCTCAGACGAATATTCGTACTTGGCATTGTTACCTACATGTGGATACATGTATTCCACAAAATTTTCCCTTCTACCTAGAGTCTCAGCTCATATATTTTTTGACGGTGACCTTCACCGCCCATGAAGTGAGTGTGGCTCCACAAAGTGTAGCGTGTTCCCATACGATTAGACGTCGCTGCCACTTTGGGGTAGTCCGTGCACGCCCGTGATCAGCCTTACGGATACTAGCTCGGAAATGATCACAGTTGGATCGTTTCGGATATTTGCAGTCCCCTGCGCCGCATTCAATATCGATGTATATCATGGCCGAACAACCCCCAAGGACGGAGCCAGCCGCCTCAGCCTCGCCCTCATCTCCTATACCCGCGACCCGTGATCCGATCCCCCAGGCCTCGCCGTCTCCAGCTCCCTCTCCTCCACCACCGCCACCATGAGGCCAACGACCCTCCTCCCCACAGCTCTTCTCCTACTCATCCACTCCGCCTCCGCCGCCTTCTCCCTCAACGACACCGGTCCCTACTGGTCCTACACCGCGCGGCAACTATCCCCCACCACGGACCGGAAATGCTTGACCGCCTACGCGGCCCCGATCGCCTGCACGGAAACCCTCCTCGGCCTCGTGACCTCCCTGCGCCCGGATTTCCAACCCACACGGGACGACCTCTCATCCATGTGTACGCCGGGCTGTAAGAGCGCGCTGGAAGATTACGTGCAGAATGTGGGCTCGGCGTGCGGGGCGAAAGGGGATCTGGCCACGCAGCGGGCGGTCAAGTCGGGGAAGAACAACACATACGTGCGCGTGTGGGTTGTGGGGCAAATGTTCGAGTACACCTATGCGCAATCGTGCGCGAAAGACGGGTCCGCCACCCCCCTCCTTCCTGGCCCCGCAGATCCTCAACCTGGAAAACAAGAAGAAGAAGAAGAAAAAGAAGAAGCAAAAGAAAAAGCTAACCGCCCCCAGACCCACCGCCTTCTGCCCCCTAACCTCCACCACCCACCCCTCCGCCGCCGCCAACTGCTCCTCCCCCTGCTCCGTCGCCTTCTACACCAACGCGCACGACTTCGCGCCCGCGTCGCGGAAGCAGTTCCAGGACTCGTACCTCACGACGCAGACGGCGTACTGGATCGAGCGGTTCAACCTGGGCTATAGAGCCCTGGTGGCCTGCGGGGAAGCGGTCGGGAACGCCGAGCGGACGGGGAGCGCGGGCGCGGGTTTCGCTCCTCGGTCGACGGGGGATGTGACGGGGGATGTGACGGGGGGTGGGGTTGCGGCGGTGGCGACGACGACGACGATGGGTTCGCCTGCTGGGACGAGTGCGGGTTCGGCGGCGGCGGTGACGGTGGCGGAGAGTGGGAGGAGTGGTGGGAGTGTGCTGGAGGTTGACGTGAAGACTGTGATAGCGCTGGGCGTTCTGGGCTTGGTTGCCGCCGCCGTTTTGTCATGAGCAGCGGGGGTGGAAATCCTCAATACGCAAACAAATACAGTTGCATGCAGATAGATGGATATACACCCAGCAATCGCTTCCGGTATTACAGCAACGAGAAGATTTCGATTCGGGCCGTGTTTCAATTAGATTTTACCAACCTCCAGGTGCCGTAACACTACCCGCCGTGCAAGCCGTGTGCGAAAAGATCCTCCCCTCCTTCCCCGATTCAATCCCTCGCATGTCCCATCCACCCATTACCCCCCTCCCCTCCCCTCCCTCCCCTCCCCTCCCCTCCCATCCCATCCCCACCCTACTTCCCCCCCCTCCTCCAAGCCAAAAGACTCAGCGCGGCCGACGCGGCAAAGGCCGCGAACGCGAACCAGATGAAAGCGGTATCGGCCTGGGCCTCGCGGCAGCGGTTGCCGAGGTTGACGCCCGGGGCGGTGTTGCCGGCGTGGTCGACGCCGCCGTTGGTGATGACGTTGTGGGCGGTGTAGGAGGCGCGGGAGCAGGAGTGGGCGCCGAGTTTGGCGGCGTAGGCCTGGGCGGGCGGTCAGCGGTTTGCCTCGCGCCCGTTCATGGGGCGGAGAGAGAGGGGGGAAGGAAGGAAAGGAAGGAAGGGGGGGGAGGAAAGAAGGAAAATCAAAAAACCCACGACACCGCCCGCGAAGGCGAAGAGGACGCTCAGCGCGTCCAGGGCCGCCATGACGACGCCGCCGAGGGCGGAGACGAAGGAGGCGGCGAGGCCGACGGCCGCGACGACGAGGAGCCAGATGCCGAGGAAGACGTTGTAGTTGGTGGCCGAGGGGGCGCCGCCGTAGGCCTGGGAGGCGACGAGGTGGCCCGAGAGGCCGAGGACGAGGATGCCGAAGAAGATCTGGCGGGGGGTTAGTTTGTTGCTGTTGTTGTCGTGGGTTTGGGAGGGATGGGATGGGAGGGGAGGGAGAGAGAGAGGGAGAGGGTGTGTGAGTACGTACCTCGAGGCCGCGGAGGGCCATGTTGGGTATCGAGGACATGGTGGGCGGGATCTGACGGGTTCGGCGACAGGTGAGGGTGAGAGGTGCAGGTGCAGGTAGGAGTGAAGTGAAGAGAAGAGAAGAGAAGATGAGTTGTGGGACAGGATGGTAGGAATGAAGTCTGTAGGTAGAGTACAATAATGTTTGTTCGAGAGTCAAAAAAAATCCCAACACCGTTTCCAGCCCCCTTCGGCGGGAAGGGGAGATTGGGGCTGGTGAAGGCGCTAGGCTGCAAACGGCGCAATGCGACGCGCCAAGCGCGTTTTAGCTTTGGGTGGTACGATACTCTCGTTTAAGTAACTTAGGGAAAGGATGATTTACTACAGGTATGACGTGAGATGAAAGACGGTTCGGGGATGGATATGAGTAGGGGAAGATGATGTGCTGGCTTGGGGAGTGTCTAGTTGTCGTGTTCATTATGTAAAGAAACCTCTTTCACTCAAAGTTATGTCCGATTAAGCTAGCAACTATAGGCGAGCTCTCGATACAGCTCGTGTGCAATGATTGCACGCTGCTGTTTGGAACTCTTGGTGATGTTTACCCTTCTGGTTGTATGGCCCCGGTATTCATCATTAAGTTTTGGCTCTGTCCACGAGCTCTCCGTCGGCAATCCCACCCAGAACCCTCTGACAGCATTGAGCGAGCCCACCTACGCACAGTCGGTGCCTGGGTCCTAAGAAGTTGCATGGCAAGGGAGTGCCGAGCAGTGAGGCGCTGTGCTAGTACTGGAAGTCGCGTCGTTCCTTCAGAGCTTCTAAGGCCGGTGTGGATTGTCAATAGGTCCTGGTGCGGATCGTTGTCTTGCTTGTCTGCGGATTCTTCGATTCCAAAAACTTCTGGACGGCAAGAATCAATCCATCACCACATGTTCTATCTGCGACAAGTTCGCAGGTATCTAGCGTCCCTACGAAAGGGACCAGATACTGTACCCAGCTCTGTTCATGAATTGCATCCAAATAGCTTTGGGGACAAGGCCATCTGAGTCCTGAAAAAGATGAACCAGAGAAGATGTCAATTGTAAGCTGCTTCAGCTCTAGATTCTGGCGCATATAGGTGCATGCCGCCTTGAGAAACATGCGGCCTGCACTATCTGATAAGTCATCTGAAATATGGAGTGGGAGACGAATCTTTTTGATGAGGCTTCGAGAAACCTGAGGCAGGTCTTTGAGGAACGATATGATAAGCGAGTGTTGGGGAAAGAAGAAGCAATTCTCGGAGTAGAAAACTTGGCGTGCGTCTGAGTAGGTTTGTCGATCCAGCGACAAGATAGCCGGGCGTATGTTCCGGGAGCAAACACGATACGTCTCCAGGTCTCCAAAACGCGATGGGTCGGTAGCGATAAGGTGACTTCTGATTTGTCGCAGGATTTCCCGTCCAGGCCATAGAGAGCCTTCATTTACTGATATAGTGTTCTCAGGAGCGTGTAAGAGGTATCGGTAGATTCGAACTCGCAACTCGGCTGGTAGCTTGAGGAATGGAAAGGTGGGTAATGTATCTTCGTCCTTGTTGCCAGATCTGCAGCTTCATTAGAAAAGGGGCAATGTTATTGGGACATAGTATCATGGGGCACAGTCAAGTGGACACTCACGCCAGACTTGCTGAAGCATGACTCTCATTGTCCGTCGACCTGGGAATGACACTTCCACTGCTCAATCCGACGGCAGAGGTGCGAGTAGCATTCGCAATGGAGATCTCGGTGAAATCAGACATCACTGAGTAGAAAGTAGCCGGAGTGTAGTAGCCTCTCCCTGTGTTGTTTGAATGGATCTATCGTTGATGGAGGAATCGAAAATTCCGATGCAACGAAGAGGTGAGAAAGTATTGAGTTTGGGCTATGTGATGTCGCTATATTCCAAACGGAGATCGTCGTGAGGTGAAGGGTGGTTGATAGCACTAACGCTGACTTTCTTGACGTCTTTCTGGCGTCGGAAGACTACCCGAAAGAAGTCGATGTGAGGTGGTGTCGGTGTGGTTGGCGCAGTGCTGCTAAAATGCCAGCGATGCCAAGAAGGGTCCCACGGACACTAGTCTCCATATAGAGCTAGCGCTAATGTTCCCTTCCCTTCTGTGTAGGCGAAACAAACACCAACTGCAAAATGAATCTCATTGAAGACGATCAGCGTAGCCTAGCACTCCGCTTTTGGAAAAGAAACAAGTCTGAGTCTGCGGTGCCCCTGGGCTGGATCTTTTTCGATTGGCTTTGGAGATCATCGGATGCCCCTCATAGAACTCCAATCCGTGGCCCGGTTCCTCTCCCTGGCTTCAATGCTCGGGGGATCTTTCAATTCTCTAGACGACCAGGACCTACAATTTGAACTCTCGACAGGAAGACGCTCGCTTTGCACTGGCTTGTCATCCGGTCATCTCCTCACAATTCCACAAGACCTTCCAGCACTCACATTCAGCATAGTTGAGCATGGCTTCTAGCATGAGGGAAACCGAGTATACATGCAAGTTCCATCACTGGGAGCGAACATCGAGAAGCACCAGCTTTGAGTGAAGAGCTGGTGGGTAGAGGCATTGAGGAAAATGAGGATACCCGGCTACATCTCGCATCATCAAGGGCAACTATGCGACGGGTAATGCCACAATACCGGATGGCGCAGGGAGTAAGAGCAGTGCCTGTATCGCCGCGTCGAGGAGGCATTGGAAAGGAAAAGGCGGAAAGGAGACACAGGAAGGCGCCGTAACGCGAGATCTGTGGCCACAGTGGATATCGACGCAGACTCTCGGGGGCGCTCGTGGAACATCAAATGCAATTATTAGCCAGAAAAAGCCATGTGAAAGAGAGGGGATGCCCCCCGAACAGGCAGCTGCATAAGGGAATGGGTGGTAGTGATGGCTCGGAAGACACCATCAGTTCGAAGCTACCTAGATTTTCTCCCTCTTCTGTATAGCCAAATTTCGCCCCGAAGAGGCCGTGTGTACCGAGCGAAGAGCTCGATAATAGCGACCCATCACTTCTGACACCTTGACCAATGTGATGCGGTCAGACCTTCGAGTACGGCACGGACGTTGCGCCGATGCCTTACGCATATCTTGCATTGCGCACATGCATGGGGACAAAGCCCTCATCTGCATGGAGAAGACATTATCTTATTAGTTCACGGAAATCTCAATTCCCAAGATCGACAAGCCTTCCGTGGTTGAGCTTTTGAAGCCAGCTGTCCGGCGCAGTGCCAACCTGTGGTTGTGAAGCTCCCTGCGTGATGATGGTTGACAGAAGCACTAGAATTTCAGCGCGAACAACACTCCAGCCAACCAGGGGCCCCTGTCGGTCGTTATATGGTTGGCGGCCCAGATGTGGCAGCATACACCGTTGTGCTGAGCCTCCGACGCACAGGAAAAAGGTCCGAAAAGCGGGAAGCGGGAGGCGGGGAAATTTTCGGATCAAAATCTTCACAGTCCAAGAATTTCGCTTCCACATTTTCCAGCGGCCGGGTCTGCCCTGGCCCCTCGGTCGCTTTCTTTGTGGGCTTACGTCTCATGATTCATGACTTTTCTGAGCGTCTTTTGCTGTGGAGGTGTGAAGTTGGAAAGCAGCGATTGGAAGAGTATCATTGGTGGCTTGAAATGCTCCGAACAGTTTGTACGAGGCTACTGTTGGACCAGGACCCCCTGCGTTGGAAATTCTCTCGCAGCAACTGTCTTTAGTACACAACTTAAAACCCGTTTATGGTAAAGGTAGAATCCACTTGGGCGATTTGAGGGAAAGAAGCTTTTCCTTATCACCTGCGCATCCAGAGTAGGTGCACTTGTTTTGATGCGCAAACGAGACAGTACCGTAGGCTGGCTAGCTGGCACCTCCTCCTTCTTAATGAGGAAGTTGAAGGGACTTTTCCTCATGCAGAAGGAAATGAAGGGAACACTTGAGGACTGGGGAAGACTACGGTAGCACCTATTCAGGGAGGGGGAAAGAACAGGAGAATGGAGAATGGAGAATGATGGCCATTAATTCATCATAGCGTTGAAGCCAATATGGGGGGAAACAATAGCGCTCCAATCAATCTAAGCGACATTTTCATTGTAAGTATGAGTGTACTTTAGACGCTAGGGTACAGCCAGCAGGCCACAGCGGACCTAAGCCCGGCCCGGAGAGAAGCCGAAAGAAAGGCAGCCGAAGGGCCAATGATGAGGGGCACTAGGGAAGCACTAATGGGAAGGAGGAAGGGTAAGTAGGACTAGATGACTGATGGTCAAAACACCAGGGAATTTCAGGATTCTAGAGTCAGGGACCCCTGCATCGCCATGCAGCTGCCATGCGACACGGGGCAAGTACTCGAATAATTATCCGCTTATCTTGCTCAAGTACCTACCTTACTCACTTTGAGCTTCTTCTTTTTAGCTTCTTCTTCATCCTGTTGATCCCAGGATGAAGGATGGAGCGCTTCCTCCCAAAATGATCCACTTGACACTTGGGCTCATGACACAAACAACCCCTGCTGACATGTGACTGGTCCGGTAAGAAAGGAAGGGAAAGGAAAGATAAGGAAACATTTAGGGAAATTCGAAAGATGAAGATGCTAATTAAGTACGTGTCAATCTTACACACTACCCTGACTACCCATCTTCTTTACCCCTGAGTCGCTTCCTGAATGGCTCGTCTCATTGGACCTCGATTATGTCCCGTGTGGAAGCTAACCGCACTTGCATCTCAGGCCAGTCAAGCCATCCATCTCAATTTCGCTAATTGCCCGCAACTGTGCTGAATCGCTCCCGTCTTCCACTTCTCACTGCCTCACTTTCCTTCCTTCCTTCACTACGACGTACACCATCGTTGATATCCCCTCTTTCCCTTTCCCTTTGCCTTTCCTTCCCTCACCTGGCCAGTATTCGCAAAGGCGGCTGCTGTGACCGGAGAATGTGATAGCAACAACGGAATGAAAAGACACTGTAGGTCGAAAATTTCTACGAAAACGCAGCTTCCTTCAAAAATCGACGGCTAACGGTGCAAACTCCTTTACAGAACACCGAGCACATCCGGATATGCCTTCCTCCGAGGTCAATTTCAAGATCCAAGATGAAGGGCGTCTGGCAGAATTGGGATATACGCAGGAGTTGAGGCGAGAATGGAGTCTGTTGCACAATTTCGGCGCATCCTTTTCCATCATTGTGAGCGAACACTCCACCAGCAATACACCAAGGCACCCTTGCTAATGCTTGCTCACCCTTCAGAGTGTGGTGACCGGGATCACGACGTACGAAAAACACTACAGTGCCTGCCGTGGAAATTGAACTGACCATGTTCAAGTCTCTTCGCCTATGGCCTGAACACAGGTGGGCCCGGCGTCATGACCGTTGGCTGGATCATCGTCAGCATGTTCAGTATGAACGAACCATTCTGTCATGCCTGCTCCTGGACTGACCACCGGTAGCACTCATCATTGGCGCCTGCATGGCCGAGATCCTCTCCTCAATCCCTACCTCGGGAGGCCCCTACTTCTGGGCCTACATGCTCGCTCCCCAACACAATGCCCCCTTCTTCGCCTGGATCACTGGCTGGTAAGAAGCCACCGCCTCCACAATTCTCATCCCCACCGTTGACCCGGTTTCATGTAGGTTCAACCTTCTGGGACAGATAGCCGTCACCACCGGGATAGACTTCGGGTTGGCAACCCTAATCTCCACCACGGCCCAAGTCAGTAACGGTTACCACCCTTCGTCCGGGAAGACTTTGGGCATACTCGCGGTGGTGCTGGCGTCGCATGTCCTCATCAACCTGTTCAGTGTGCGCACTTTACGGTACATGATCTACACCTCCATTGTCTTAAACACCCTGGGGGTGTCATGTCTGGCGATCGCAGTCCTTGCAAAGGCACCGACGCACCAATCTGCAAAGTTCGTCTTTTCCACCTTCTACGATGGCACGGGATTGCCGGGTCAGGACGGGTGGAGCATACGAGCGTCTCCGGCATATGTGGCCGCCGTCGGAGTCCTGATGTCGCAGTACACCATTTTGGGCTTTGATGCTTCAGCCCATCTGTGTGAGGAGACGAGGAAAGCCGTCAGGGATGCTCCGTTGGGTTTGCTGTCGGCGATTGCAGGGTCGTCTGTGATTGGATTCTTTTTGATCGTCGCTCTGCTATTTTCGATTCAGGACTTCCAGGCTGTCAGAACCAGCCCGCTACCAGTGTTGAAAATCTTGATGGATGCATGTGGTGAAGGAGGTGGATTGGTGCTCATGGTCCTGATCATGCTTTGCGTCTGGCATTGCGGTCTTTTCAGCCTGGTCCGTAACCCACCCTTTCCCTCCCACACCCACCCAGCCCCGTGCCCCAATAACGGAACTCAAGTGCGCCGCACTAACACTCCCAGACGTCCAACTCCCGCATGATGTTCGCCTTCGCCCGTGACGGCGGCATTCCGCACCGACTACACATCATCGACCGCGGCTTCCACTCCCCGATCCGCACCGTCCTCTTCGGCGCCGGCTGTTCCTTCCTCCTCGCCCTCCCGTCCCTCGGCTCCACCGTCGCGTTCGACGGCACGACTTCCATCGCCACGATCGGCCTCTACCTATCCTACGGCATCCCCATCGCCATGGGCCTCGCGTACCCACGCAATTTCAAACGCGGGCCGTTCAACCTCGGCTCCGCATCCAAGCCCCTCGCCATGGTCGCCTGTCTCTGGATTGCCTTCATCACTATCGTGTTCTGCCTCCCGGCGGAAAACCCGGTTACGCAGCAGACGCTCAACTACACGCCCGTGGCCCTGGCGGTGGTAGGCGTCTTCGCCTTCGGCTCGTGGTTCCTATGGGCGAGACATTGGTTCACGGGGCGGTGTAGGCATCATTGCAGGATCTGCATTCGGCAGTTGGACTTCCTGGGCGAGGAGATGGTGTACAGATCCGACACCGTGGACAGCGACGGCCATCAACGGCTGAAGAGTAACGAGGGCACCAACGACGGCTTTCAGCCCAGTGATCCCGATTTCAGGAAAAGAGGGGAAAGTAGAGGCGGGTTGAAGAAGGCGGGTGATCAGTAAGTGCATTCTTTCTCCGTGCTTACCCATTTATCCATCCACCCATCCATCCATTCATTCATTCAATCGACCATGAAATCGCCACCACCGACGCAAGGGCTAACGAGCGGTACGTCCGAACAGGAAAATCTCCGTCGGCAGGGAATTCGAAGTCTACTCCGCTCCCGCGAGAGAATACGAAGAAGTGGGCGAAATGTAACATAACATAAATGGAAATCAAATCAAATCAAATCAAACCAACCGCGGCGATTGGAACCGGGGATGTATGTACAGGGTTTATGTATCCATGGGGAAGTGAAGTGAGTGAGTGAGTGAGGGTTGGTAGGTAGCTGTAGGAGTAGGAGTAGAGTACGAGGGACTCGTTGGAGTGGGCGGTGGTGGGTGGAGTTGATATGATACCCATGCATGCATTCATCTATCTATCTGTTTATCTATCTATCTGTCTATCCATCTATCCATTTATCTATCTTGAAAGAAAGGAAGGAAAGTAGGAAAGTAGGAAAGAAGGAAAGAAAGAAAGTAGGAAAGAAGGAAAGAAAGGAAGAAGGAAAGAAAGAAAGAAAGAAAGAAAGAAGAAGGAAAGAAAAGATATTCAATCCACTCATGCACACCACCAGGATTGAATTCTTCACTCGATATCACCCATTCCCATTCCCATTCCCCATTTTCCAATCTCAAATCTTAAGCCTTTGCGTCTGCGTATAATTATATAAGTACGGGTGTAGGCGGCTCTATCTTTTATTATCTATCTATCTACGTATCTATCTCGTTATTATCATCATCATCCTATCTATCCATCTATCTCATCACCATTATCATCATATCTATCTACCCATCTATATACCCATCTATCTATCTACCCATCTATCTCGTCACCATCATCACCACCCTATGTATCTACTCATCATATTCATCTCATCATCATCACTATCATCCTATCTATCTACTCATCATATCTATCTTATCACCATCATCATCACCATCCTCATCTTCGGGATTGAAGCTTATAATACTATTGAGTTAAAGCACTACCAAGTGTCTCCGTTCACGCACTCGCTACCGTCCGATCGAACTGAGAGGGAGGGAGGTAGGTGGGCGGGTTAAAGCAGGTTGGGTAAGTGCAGGGCGTGCCGGGGCTGAGAGTGAGAGAGTGCGAGTGGGACTTTTGACGGCCTGGGCGGTTGGGTGGGTGGGTGGGGGATTGTGGATGGGATGGAGGGGTGAGGGTTGTGTGTGTGGAGAGTTGGGGGGAGGGGTCTGGTGAGTTTAGGGTTGGTGGATGGGTATGTATATAGTGCGGGCTTTGAAATGACACAGGTGAGTGGGTGGGTGGGCGAAAAAAAATCAAATCCGGGTACCGGTTCTACCGCTGTAAGAGCTGGTTACGGGAAGAACGATCGAGGGGGCCAAGTCATCAAACAACAACAACAACAACAACGGTGCGAAGGATGTGGAAAAGCTTCTGGGCGAGCGTGGGCGAGCGTGGATGGGATCGGATCGAGCGAATCCCGTTTCTCACAAACGTCGTGTTGTCGGGATCTCGGTGACGGGGTTCGAAAGTGCCCACTTGTTCTGACCACCAGCCGGGAGGTCTACTACTCTCGGGTGACCCTACAGCGGAACTGTGCATGAATTGAGCTTTGGGTACTTTTTATCACTCGGACGTGATAGGGGCAATAGGCGCAAAATCGAGGTGCGCGCCAGATCAGTACCTGAACTGCCAAGACGGGGTATGGATTTGTGAGGAATCATTTGTTTGGGGTATGAATTACTTTAACGTCGAACTGGTGCACCGTTACTTAATTCCGTTAACTACAACAGACGGAATGTTTCTTTCTTTCAAAACAAGTCCATCTTATATATACTTACTTATGCACTTAATCCTAACCTATCTAACTCTAACGTGCTGCCGATCGATCAGTGTTTAACAATAATAACAACAGCGCACCGCAATGGCTGCCCAACTTCCCACGCGCCAATTGGGCAAGGATGGGCCGTGGGTTAGTGCGTTGGGGTATGGGGCTATGGGGCTGAGTTGTAGGGAATTACCGCGTCCGATTTCTCCGATATGAGAATGGGCGAGCTAATGATATGATGCATGAGTAGCTACGCTCTACGGCGATGCTGGAGACGAGGAAGAGCGGTTGGCGTTTCTGGATAAGGTGTTTGAGATGGGGTGTACGTTCTGGGATACTGCTGAGGTATGAATCGGGTTGAATGTTTACTATGTTCGAGAGTCATAAGCTGATCTGGTGTAGGGCTATGGGGACAACGAAGAGCTGATTGGGAAGTGGTTCAAAAGGACTGGAAAGCGTGATCAGGTATGCTCTACCTTCATTCTCAATATTGAGAGTATGTGATGCTGAGAAAGGGATAAGGTATTTCTGGCAACCAAATTCGCAGTCAGAGGCTTAGCAGACGGTACACGCATTTTCTCCAATGAGCCGGAGTACATACGAAAAGCCATCGATGGGAGTCTGGAAAGACTGCAAACCGACCATGTTGACCTCTGGTACTGGTTCGTAGCTCCCTCTTCCCCCAATCCAAGCCTTTTCCCATCCAGCACTCACAACCCTCCAGCCACCGCTTCGACGGCAAAGTCCCCGTCGAAACCATCGTCTCTACCATGGCCTCCGCCGTCCACTCGGGCAAAGTTCGCTACCTCGGCCTTTCGGAATGCTCCTCCACCACCCTCCGCCGCGCCATGACCATCCACCCCATCCACGCCGTCCAAATCGAATACTCCCCCTTCACCCTCGACATCGAAAACGCCTCCGGCACAAACCTGCTCGCCACGTGTCGCGAGCTGGGCGTAGCGACCGTAGCCTACAGCCCGCTCGGCCGGGGGGTGCTTACAGGCCAGTACAAAAGCGCCGAGGACTTCGGGCCGGGCGATTGGAGGCGTAACATGCCTCGATTCTCAGCGGAGAATTTCCCCAAGAATCTCGAGCTCGTTGACAAACTTTCCGCCATCGCGAAAATGAAAGGTTGTACGACGGGGCAATTAACGCTGGCGTGGTTGATGGAGCAGGGGCCGGATGTGATTCCGATTCCGGGGACGAAGAAGGCGAAGTATCTTGAGGAGAATTTGGGGAGTTTGCGGGTGGTGTTGAGTGAGGGGGAGGCGGGGGAGATTAGGGAGGCGGTGGAGGGTTGTGTGACGAGTGGGGATCGGTATCCGGGGGTTATGGCGAAGGTTTGTTTTGGAGATACGCCGGAGCTGGAGGGGAGGGAAGGAGGGGGGTAGTGATAATGAGGGGTGGGGCTGTTGCTACTGCTTGCCTTCGATACAAAAAGTTGGCTGCAGAGCCTTGGGCGGCATTGCCGTAGGGCTGACCTGCTATACTTCCTGCTCTCTTTCAACCATCATTCATGACCATCATACATACCGTTTTAACAGAACAAGTCCTTTCAGCACGAGGAGAAGATCTATGCCTTCGTGTTTATGAGATGTTATTGACCAATCGTATCGTCTAGATGCGAGGTCGTGCAAGCATCGCGGATATTACATTCCCAATACAACGATTGGCGAGGATGAGCGCAGCCTTGCCATGCGCAGCACCGCGGTCAAATGTCTCCGCCACTCTCTTCATCTCAGAATCCGCGCATCACCAGAGATCGTGTGCTACCTACGCGCTTCAAAGCGAGAAGTGGAAGAAGAAACAAGTTCACGGTGCTGCATCGCGATTGGACGATGCGAGATGCAAGCTCTATGTAGCCTCATGCACGGTGATCGCCGAGCCACCGTAGCAGGGCGCAGGAAGAACAGCCTCATTCTGAAACGACTATATGGTCTCGGAGAACCCCGCCATGTCGGTATATCACTGCTGACCTCTCTTCCAACCTACCCCATCCATCCAATTATTATATCTCGGCCCATCCCATGACCATCAATCTATCAACGTGACCTTGGGAGCGTTGGAAAGAAAATACATGCCCTGGCGGCGCATTTTCATTAATATAATGAACATTTCCAGCTCATATCGCGACTTCTCGTCTCGTGCTTTAGCTTCTAAGCATATCCCTTGCCCAATATGCCCTATACGAGGAACAGTGGCCCTACGAGTGCAAATGATCCTTCAAGCAGAACTGAAAATGATCCTAACGGCGGCCATTGCGGCCAAGCCTTGGGCTTCTCATCCAATTCTTCCCACACTTCCGGTACTCCCAGTTATCAACATCAACAGCAGACCACCAGTGGTTACCAATATCCACATGGGAACCAAAACCTCAGGCCTCCTCCTCTCAACGCTGGCTATCACTTCAGGGACAACTCTATGAAGCGCTCCTCTTGTCACGGCACCAGCGATTCTGGCTATACTACCAGAGTCCCTTCAGTGGCTAGCCCACAACCACAACAGAGCTATCCGGTCCAGAGCTACCCAGTCCAAAGCTATCCAGTCCAAAGTTACCCAGTCCACAGCTATGTTCCCAGTCGCCAGCTGGGCCCACAGAAAGCAGACCGTCCTGGTATTGAGGTCGTTCATACTGCTCATGTAAGCTCTTCAAAATACGTGAAGGAGCGAAAGCTCAGGTAGGATACTACTCTCTTCGTTGGTGCACTCAGTGGGAAGCATTGCCTCTCCACCCTACATCTCTGACAATTTTCTGCATTCGCTGACATCTTATTCAGCACCCCAATTCCTTCATCGCCTTCCGAGTACCCCTGCCTACACCCAAACTGCGGCCACATAAGTTCTCGAGCTCACGATCTTAAAAGTCATATGGTTGTGCACATTCCCCCTGCACCAGACGAGCTACTTGATTGTAAGTACGAGTGGTGCGGGCGTATTGGATCACACGGTTTCAAGAGAAAATACGATCTTGAAGAGCATATGAGGAAGGTACATTTCAAAGAGACTCAACATTTTTTTTTTATTTTTTTTTTTTTTTTTTTCCCCCCCCCCCCCAAACCCTTTTTTTTTTTTTTTTTTTGTGGTGGGGGGGTTTTTTTTTTCCCTTTTTTTAAAAAAAAATATTTTCTTGAAGAGCATATGAGGAAGGTACATTTCAAAGAGACTCCAATTCCTTCATCGCCTTCCGAGTACCACTGCCTACACCCAGACTGCGGCCACATAAGTTCTCGAGCTCACGATCTTAAAAGTCATATGGTTGTGCACATTCCCCCTGCACCAGACGAGCTACTTGATTGTAAGTACGAGTGGTGCGGGCGTATTGGATCACACGGTTTCAAGAGAAACGACCATCTTAAAGAGCATTTGAGGAAGGTACATTTCAAAGAGACTAAGTACCCTAGAGCGAGTAGACGGGGCAATGGACAAGAAGGTAGAAGAAAGAGCCCGAGACGTCGATCTAAGGTAGCAGCGGCTGCGACACACTGTTCGGTCGTCTCAGAAAATCAAAGCATGCTTGTAAAGATCAAACCAGAAAGCACAAGATCTGCGGCAAGAGAGGAAAGTGTGCTCCCGTCAGGCAATCTTCAGGCTCCAGGACTGTCAGCGGAAGCTGCAGCACGAATTGCGAATTCGCAACCCCGGAAAATCTGTGAAAACCCGCCAGATCAAGAGACTGCTGGGTTGAAGGTCTCTATTCCGGATCCAGATTCGGTCGTGCCGCAAGCTTTGGACGCTAACAACGTCGGACCTATCGATAGGATGGCTAATGCATCGGACGATGTAGAAATTGAGTCGCATGAAGCAAACGAGTTGATTTCTTCCTCGGATGATGAAAGTGTGCATCAGCGACTGAAAGACGGTATCCCCGATGACCCTGGATCTATCGCTGAGTGCGAACATAGGCATTCAACAGGAGCGGTCCTCGACGGAAACGACGGTTTGATAGCTTCAAAGTTTCACCACTCGATCAACGCCAAGCTGGCACTCATAGAATCTCAGGTGCTTGAGGCTTTGTCAGCGGACGAAGCAGGCCAGTACCGCGCTTCGATCAAGATTCAGTGGAACATCTTGGGTTTCATGGATGACCAATTCCGTGAGGATGACTTTCCAAATTCAGCTTTGAGTCCCGTTGTTACAATAAGTGGGTCTGCACAGCACGCTCAAGCGACGACCTGCTCAGATTATATACAACAAAACTGGCCTGCACATGGTTCGAAAGTTCTGGATGCCCTACAGGCTGCTTTGGATAGCCCTTCCCACACGTCACAGTCTAAAATTTGTGATCGTATTGATGACGGAAATATTTCTAGAGACGGTGCACCCTCCAGTCATGCTGAGCTTGAGTTCCAAGTCACTCGCGGTTCTACGTCTCTCTACATCACATCCGGAAATCCAGACATCGTTGTGGACGTTGTCCAGCAGCTGGCATGGATGGGGGCCGCACTCCGAACGTCCGGAGATGGTCGAATTGAATATTGTGATTCAAAGCTGGAGGCAGTCCTGAGAGCTAGAGGAGTGGCACCGGCCATTTTGAAGCTTACTTTTGACATGAACTCGCCTAGTGGCGAAGACCAAAGTTGTTGGTTTCCACTATTCACGAACCCAGTCATTGCCTATGGATTTCCAACAGTCCACAGAAACGACCATGAAGTGGGACTCGAGATTCCGCTAGAAATGATGGCTGCTCTTGGTGGCGCAAGACACGCGGTGGATTTCGAAGGCGGCTTGGTGTTGAAAGGGTATTCGGTCTTATTTGTACCCATACGTGTCCACGAGGAGTCCGTCCAATGGCATTTGATATGTGCTAGGGACGAGGAGCGGATCCCGTATCGCGAAGCATCAGTGCAATGCCCGAATCGAGTCTTTTTAAAGGACCTCAATCATGAGGCACTTAGGACTACGCGTGCGTATCTTGGATGGTGGAAAGAGGCCGAAACCCACCTTGGAACGGCAGACGCCGACTACGAGAGCATTGACTGGTCGAAAGCGAAGGAAGCCGGCCCGCCTCCAAGACTCACCGGTGGGACTGTAGGTGTCTCGAAAATAATCTCTGCTCAAGTGAATTTTGTATTGGGTGCAAAAGACGGCTCGTTTCATTACTCGCAGCATGAGCCATTTCAAAAGACAGTCGATCGTTCAGAGAATCTCCCGGTAGTTCTTTATGATCAAAAGGATCGAAGATCTTGGCTAGTTCCAGCGCTCCCAGTCATACTGCACATCATCCAGCTGCGGCACCATATTAAACCTTTCGTTGTCGACGGGGAAAAAGTCAAGATTTCTCCCTTAGACCCTTCACAGCAGGGATTTGCTGCTAGGGAAGCAGTCACCAAGAACAAGTCGCAGAAGCTGTTCGATTGTGAGTCGAATGAAGAGAAGGAGTACTGCTTCAGAGACGCTGTGTTGGATACCTGGTCTATTCTGGACCGTCTCATGGAAAGGGAAGCAACAACGCAAGCTACTCCCGGAATGGCCATCCATGCCACATGGCAGAGCACCTTGCACGGATGGGAGTTCAGAGCCGTTGCTGATGAGGACAGGCATCTCAAACAGAAGTCACAGGTTCTTGAAAAATCTGCTGGACGATGGTACGACCTTGTCAAAGATGTCGATGCTATTGTACTTTTTGCAAGCGGATTGGGCGATATCATTAAGCCTAGATCTGGTTTGGGTGGACTGTGCCGGAAGTGGAGAAGCCTCCCAAAGGATAAGGATTACCTTGCCGTCGGCGTTTCAATGCTAAGGATGTTCTACGCAAAAGCCGGACACCGCCAGGATCAGCAATACCTAACCTCTGCGAAGCTCCAATGGCATCGAGGCTCCATGCTTTTTGAGTCATGCGCTGGCGTCGGTTCGAATCGCTGCAAGTGCGACCGTTTACAGCAGGTATACCACGACTCGTACAAGATAATCGGGCATAGAATCCCACACGGCAAGCTCGAAGCCAACGGTTGTGTAGTATTTGGTCAAGGCCATCACCCACTCAAGCTCCCCCAAAGCGTCGCCTGGAGACAAAACACTGTCCATATGTTACCCAACGCTTCCATTCAGGATGGGAGAACCACCAAGAAGACTTCAACAGAAGATGATGGCTCACTATCACCGTCTCCTCCAACATCGGTCTCCCCTGAACCTGAAGAAGTCAATGGAAATGCAATCCGGAGCCCGAAACAACGGCCGTCGCCACTGAGTTTCACAGACCATCTGGTGCAAGAAAAAGCGATTGCATCAAAGAGAAGGCGTAAGACTCCACACATGCAGGCGTCGAGTTTCGACATGTGCAAGGGACCCAACGACAGCAATGATCAAATACCGTTGTCTGACGACTGTGCAACATGTCCCCTGGAATATCAATCGATACTCAGATATGATAATCTGTCGAACGGACAATATTCGGGATGCAGAGAGACTATCCACGCTCCCAAAGCTGAAGACGCTCCATCACATGCCCCAAAAACTCTACGTCACAAAGCAAAGATCGAAAACTATAGCCATCGTGGTGGCTGTTCATGTACGACTTGTTCCACAGGGTCTTTTGAGCCACCAGAAAGCATGGAGCTTGTCAACACCGTCAAGGGCATTCGAAGGAATTCAACGAATATAGCAAAAATGCCAAACAGACAGCTAGTGTGATCTTGCAGTGTCTTCCAGAGCACCCATCACGAGTCGGATTTTCTCAGCAAGCTATAAAAAAATCAAAACGAGGGACTTCTGTTTGGAACTTCCGCTCGAAATGTCTATCAAGGGACGGTGGCGGCAGCACAGTGCTTTTTGATTAGCAGTACTGTACATTAAAGACGCCAAATTTACGTCAGCCCCAAACCACAAAACTCAATCTCCAATCTCATTCGAGCCCAAGCAGCGCCAATCGCGCCGTAACATGCACCTCCGTCGGATCCCTAACCGGATCATAATACCTCCTACACTCCCTCTCCCAGCCTTGCAACAAACCCACCCAACGCCTCCCACACTCCTCCCTCTGCCTCCCCAAATCCCCTTCCTCCCTCTGCCTCCCAGTCCGGAAATACGCCCGCCAAAAATTACACTCGATCTCCGTGCGCAAATGCTCCGCTTCCGCTTCCATCGCCAGCAACGATTCGCGGATCTCTCCGCGCAGCGCTGCTGGGATGGGGTCTTCAGGGAGCGCGAGGACTTTGGCCAGATAGGAGAGAGGGTGCAGGAAAGGATCCATACGCCATGGCGTTAGGGAGTTGTTGGCCGATAAGGTGCGCAGATGCCACAGGTCTGATTGGCGGCGGCAGAGGAGGCTGACGAGGCTTGAGGAGATGCTGGCGAAGGATCTTGGCGGTGGTAGGGGTATGTTGAGAGATCTGATTGGTAGTGAGTGGTTCATGGTGTTGGAACGATGGTCGCGATTTTCATTAGTGTAAAAGCTGAGTGTGGCCGAGGAAGAGAGACCGACTGGGGAAGGTGGCACATTTTATAGATCTTAGACGCAGTTAGAGTTGCATGAGGGGACCATTGCTCTTTGTCTTCATTGCAAACCAGGCTCTGGGTTCTCACATGTTCCACCTTGTCGAAAGGTTGTGCGCATTTCTAAACAGTTCCGGGACTGGGCAAACAAAGGTCGCAGTGACTGACACAGAACCACAGACCTGCTTTCTCCACGCATGTCGGACACACTTAGAATATCTAGAATCGTCATAACAAGGTCCCTCTGCCAATGCAAGATGTGTAAAATTCACTAGGCTGACACGAGGACGTGTATTGAAAAAGGTTTCCAGGCTTGTAATGAAACCATTCTTAGGCGATTCAAGACGGCCCCCCCCCCCTTTAGAGTCAAAACGCAATTCGACCTTCCCAAGTCAATTTTGCGTTCTGCGCTGAATTGGGCTTCCAGGACCCCCCTCGTCAAATTATGGCTACGATGGGTCTTATTGCGGGTGGCTTGTAGCAATTGCTTGTTGCGCCCTCATTGATGAATTGGCTGGAGCAGTGTGGAAGGGCGGGGCAAAGTTCTCCCGAATGATGCGAAAGCTAGCGCTCAAAACAATGGGAATCTGCATCCCTTTGTCGCTGGCTCTCGCAGGCCGTGCGAACCCAATAGGACAGACCTTCAGCTGGTGAGATGGATGGGGGATACGAAGATGCGCAGGCTCTCTACCAAGGGACAAGGAGGGCATCTTCTTTCAAGGTAGCAGCTTTCCTGCCCTTTTATCGACAGAGAGAATGGACATTCGCGACTTCGCTCTCTCGTATTCCCGTCTCGGGTGATGCAGGTACGTGTAGATAACGGCGGAGTAATCCAAAATCCGAAGGCCGATTTCCACATACCAAGACTATTTATATAGCCAATTGAACAGCCATTCCAGCATCTCCGACTGAGCGATCACGAACCAAGTGATCCGGTCAAACCTATTCACAACTCCTCCATCCAGTAGCACACGGTATCCCCCATTACCATCGATCATGTCTCTCCCTAGCAAGGCAAGTAACTGCCCCTAACTTGACGAAAAACCGTTATTGACATGTCTAGGCATGCTGCAACATACCGCCCGTCGAGGTGGATTACACGCCCAAAGGAAGCGATATCAAGATTCAGGGAATGAAAACCTGTTAGCATCTAGCCACACTCACTCATATAGACGCTCAAAGCTATCTCGCAGACAAGACTGGCTCACCAAGCGCTACTACCGCCATCCTCCTTATTGGTGATGTCTTCGGCAATGTAGCGCAAGTTCTCCAGGTGAGACGGTTTCTCCCCGACTCCTTGCCTTGCCCCATTTGCTTTGGACTTAGCAATCTTCCCGAATAAAGGGTGCCGATCTCCTTGCCTACGGCGGCGAAAGCTCCCACCAATACCAAGTCTTTGTTCCGGACTTCTTACGGGGCCAGTATGCCAGTCATACCTGGTTTCCACCGGACACAGAAGAAAAGCAGAAGGCCATTGGCGCGTACTTCGGAGGCCATGCGAATTTCGGAACGGCCAAGGAGAAGATTCCCGCCGTCATCAAGGAAATCGAGCAGGAGACAAAGGGCACAATCACCAAATGGGCAGCTGTCGGGCTTTGCTGGGGTGGAAAAGTATAACTGATCCATCTCTCCCCTTACTCCACGGCTTCACGCTCAGACTTCTCGTCTAGGTTGCAACTTTGGCTGCTGGCTCGGACACGCCTTTCGTGGCTGCTGTGTCCGCCCATCCTGCACTGGTAGACCCTAAGGACGGTCCATCCGTTACGATTCCGTATTGTCTACTCCCGTCCATGCACGAGGACAAAGATAAGGTCAAGGCATTCGCGGATGCTATCAATGTCGAAAAGTATGTTGAGACTTTCGATGATATGCCGCATGTGAGCAACTCTTTCCTACTCTATCCTTATCGTATCAGAAAGCGACTAACGCCTGAGATAGGGCTGGATGGCGGCACGGTAGGTCTCCTTACGACACGAATCTTCGGGATTGACTAATTTGGATGATGCAGTGCCGACCTCAACGATCCAACAGCCAAAGAGGGATACAAGCGTGGCTATGAGACGGCGCTGAACTTCTTGTAAGCCCTCGCACCAAGTAAGGATCGGCAGTGTGTATTTCTAACAGACCATTCCCGTGAGTTGGTAACCGTCCAGGCGCGGGACGGGGAACATTCGCTGAGTCAGCCACTCCGAAGTAGAATAGCGTCCGCGCTTATATTATAATTACGAAATTTTCGCGTAAGATTTAAATAACTTATAAATATTAAATATTAAATATATAATAATACTTTATAGATCTCGAAAATTTCGAAATATTTTTAAGATTATTTTAAGTTAATTATAGAACTATTACGAAAATTTCGAATTATCTTTTAAAGTTTTAAAAATTTCGAGTTAATAATAATAGAATTATCGCGAAAATTTCGAATTATCTCTTAGAGTCTCGAATTTTTCGAATTTTTCAAATTGATAATAGAATTATTACGAAAATTTCGAGTTAATAATAATAGAATTATCGCGAAAATTTCGAATTATCTCTTAGAGTCTCGAAATTTTCGAAATTTTTAAACTAATAATAGAATTATTACGAAAATTTCGAGTTAATAATAATAGAAATATTTCGAAAATTTCGAATTATCTCTTAAAGTCTCGAATTTTTAAAATTTTTTTAAATTAATAATAGAATTATTACGAAAATTTCGAATTAATAATAATAGAATTTTTATAAAAAATTTAAGATAATTATAGAGTTATAATAAAGATTTTAAAGTATTTATAAATTTCGAAAATTTCGAATTTTTATAGAAATATCTCGAATTTTTCGAATTTTTTATAGATTTATTATAAAAAAATAATATATAATAGAAATATAATAAATAACTAAGTTATTAAATTTATCTAAAAAAATAACGTTTATAATATCTATAAATTATAGATATTTTTAAAAAATATAATATTTTATATAATAGATTATAATATTTTATATAATAAAGAAAAAAAGCTTTAAAATATAATATAAGAATAAAAAAGTAGATTTAATTTCATAGTATCTTTATATATATTAAAATATAAGAAAATAATAAATAAATAAAAAATTTTAATTTTTAAAAATAAGTAAGTATATTAATAAAGAAAAGAATTAATTATTTTATTAGTATATATAAAAAGAATAAAATAGAGCTAAGCTTGAAAATCTTAAATTTATATATATAGTCAATTATTAATTTAGAGTTACTACGCTCTTTAATTAGATTAGCTAAATTATCGCGAGTAATTAAATTAGCGTCCGCAATTATTAAAATCTCGTCCTCCCATATCTCTCTTATTAAAAAAATAGGTATACGTTATTTACAATAGTAATAACTTTTTTATTTTCTATTAAAATTTTTAATTTTTTTTTTAAAATTTTAAAGCGCTATTTACGCTTTCCGAATTTTTAAGAATTTTGAAAATTTATCTTATCATTATTGAAGCGCAAGGAATTCAAATATCGCTCATCAAAGTTCGCTTACCAAAATCGCTTATCAAAGTTCGCTCGATAGTCGGACAGCTCGCTCATCAAAGTTCGCTTACCTATTTACTCGATAGCCCTAATTAAAAAAAATGATTATGAATTTAATTTATAGGCCTTTACTCGTATATATATAAATATATAGAATAGTTATTAATATTTACTTCTAGAGAATTTAAATTTTTTTTATCTCGAAATTATCGTTCGAAATTATTATTCGAAATTATTATTTAAAATTATTATTCGAAATTATTATTCGAAATTATTATTCGAAATTATCGAAATTATAGCTACGATAATTTCGAATAAAAAAAAATCGAAAATCTCGAGTCGCTTAAATTTTTGCTAAGGATAATCGTCTCGAACGATTATTAGATTACTTTAAATTTAAGTTTATCGTATTTACTAACTAAATTTATATATATAAAGAATATATTTAATATAAGTTAATAACCATTCTCTTAGTAGTGATAACCGTCTTCAAAACTCGAATTTTTCGCTATAATAAATATTCTCGAAAAATTCGCGGCGCTTCGCGTTTTTATAAATTATTAGTAATATCTCTATAAGGACTCTACGAAGGCTTTACGAGGGTTATATTTAGATTTAAATAGAGATATCTAGCTTCGAAGCTCGAGGACGAGCTCTCTAGAGGGGAAGATATTATTAGCAGTATTTCTACGAAGAAGTTCTACGAATAATATTCTTCTATTTATAAAGCGAAAATATCGAATTTCGATATTTAATAATAGAGGGTAGGGCTTAGCGTAAGTTATCGTTTAGCCGCGTCTAGACGATTACTAGACTTCGTTAAAGACTATATTTCAGCTATAAGTACTAGTGGGCGCGTAATCAAGTAATAGATTTACGCGATTTTTCGCGTTTCCCCTACTATTCTTTCTATATACTACTTATAAAATAAAATCTTATATATCTAATAAGTATCTAAATACTTTATAATATAAATATATTATTAATTATAATATTATACTAGAATAAACGATCTTATAGATTTATAAAAATATTAATACATTAATCTTAACGATTAAATAAATTATTAAATTTAAAATTACGCGTTATAATAAAAATCTTATTTTAGAACTATCTGAAAAGATTAACGTATATAATCTTTAAAGCTTAATTTATATAATTATTTAATTAATTAATAATAGATATAAATTCTATATATAATTAATTAAAAAACTTAAAATCTCTATCTCTAAAATAACTCTTCGTAAATATCTTCGTAAAGTAAATTTTCGCCGCTATATTATATATCTAAAATTATTTATTTTTTAAAGTAATTAAAGAAAAAGACTTAAGTAGATAAGAGAATATCTATATTAAATTATTAAAGATTAGAAATAAGTTATTTTTAATAATAAGAGCTCTTTTAAGAGTAAATAATGAAATTAAATTTATATAACTCGAAGATCTATTAAGTATTATTATTTAGATTATATATAATACTTTAAATACTCTAGTCGTTAAACTCTTATAATATAAGATATTATTATAAGTATATAATATATTAAGCTATATTTACTTTTAGATAATATTAAATCTATAAAATATAAGATATTAAAGAATAGTCTATAAAAATCTATTACTAATATAAATTATATCGAGTAGATTTTAAAATTATTTATATTACTTTAATATCGAGTCTTAGAGAAGTAAGAATTATAACTAATATTTATATAAGATAAAGCTAGAATTTATAATTCTAAAGAGATATTATTATAATTACGATAGTATAGAATTAAAATTATATTATAGCCTTTTAATAGCTCTAATTTAAATCTCTATAAGTATATATAAAAGAGAATAAAATAGAAAATTCGGGCGTATAAAAGAATAATTCTTATATTAAAGAAAATATAGTTTATTTATAAAAAAGAATAACTTAATAAATAGATAAATAGATTTATATTAAGTAAGTTCATAGTATATTATAAAGATATTAGGAAACAATGTGACTATGTTATGATTTGGGTATGGTGTAAAAGATATTGATTATTCTATGTGCCTGCAGGGCAGATATGTGTGGTGCCAAGCCACACTTGTATTATCTTATCAGATGGCCTTGACATACCGTGATAAAAGATATCGAGATATTATTAAGAATCGTGGGTTTTTAATATAATATTAGTTTATGGGAGTTAATTTTTGAGGCTAAGATAGCTATAATATATAGTTACTATTATAATTACTTTAAATAATATTAAAAATATAATTATAGTAACTAATAGTAGAAATAATGGATGTGCGTAATTATTGATTTTGGTTGCCAAGACTAAATCCGTCACTTGATTCTGTGGCCACAAGTACCTGTAAGAGGCGTGGCGATGGGAATGCGGTTGTCAGCATTCTGGCTGCCGTCTGTCTGCCCAGCTCCAGCTTGGATGGTCTCGATTAGCCTAGCATTTTTGCTCATACAGAATTACTAGGCGTTGCAGTACGTCTCGTTTGACCTACATTGCGAAAGGGAAGAAAATCTTCAGTCAGCTTTTCAACAAAGTTGCTTTTACTTTTTTTCCCCAAAACTTTGAGGTGTTTTCAACCCTATTGAATTTAGGATTTCAAGTATCAAAACACTTTGGAGCTTTGTAGACGTCTCGTCTCTAGCTAAGATTTATTCATTAACCCAATGTATGAATCTTTTCAACACTTGTTCCTCTCTCCATTGCCGTTCAATTGGACACATTCTTGAACAATCCGTTGATGCAGCTGTCCTGCCTGGCTTCTCTTCAGAGCAACGATCGTCATCATCTTTTTCACAATGATGCTGCCCGAAGTGCTTGCTGGTAGCTACTATAGCTCCAAGAAAGACACCATAATCTGTACAACATGGCTCTCCAAAGCGGCATTTGCATGCGGCTACCAGACCCCAAAGGTTATGCGTCAAGCCAAACCCGAGCCCAAGAAGCAGGAAAGCCAGGCATCGGCCAGCCGGTTGAAAGGTGAGGTTTGGAAAGAAGCCAAAGCGGCTGCACAAGCCAGCAAGCGCCCTGCAACAGATGCCGAGCCGTATCAACGCCCGAAGACGCTGTGCCGCATGGTTTCAGAAGACCGGTATTTATTCGCGATAGGAACGGCTCTACAGCCCTTCAACTACATTTCGCTGGAGTCTTGGAAAAAGGCGTCGAGCGCTCGGCATCCTTCAGGCCCGGCGGAGCCTTCTCCACCGAAGGCAAAGGATGCCCCTTCCACATCTGAAGAGCCAAGCCGCCAAGATCTGGCCAATCGATTCGGCGCTCTAGATGTCGAGGATCTAGACGAGTCCCTGAACGTTGCGGCTTCGGTCTCGCCTTCAACCTTGTCCGGCGAGCCGAGGAAGAGGTTATCAGCTTGGGACCGAACGTGTACTCGAAATTCCGCTCTTACAACGCTTCATCGTTGGAGATCTTCGATGCTGAGTCGTTCGGCAAGGGCCAAGATCCCGAGGCAGAACTTACATCAATAACTCTCTCAATAAGATCCATTTGACGACTGCGTATATCTCCCAACAGCTCGAGTCCTGATCAAGTTTCCACGGTTCATGGAAATGAAGCTCGATTGTCCACAGCCCGTCCCGCCTTTCAGGGTTGCCTACATCTCCAGGCCCGAACTTCTGGAGCTTCCAGAGACGAAGAAGAAGAAGGAGCAAGAGGATCTGCTCTTGAGCCAAATTCTGATAGGCTCGTCCTGGAATGATCTCATTAAAAGATGATCTCGCTGACCCGAACCGGACAACAACCCCCAGTCGAAGACGAGTTCAACACGAGTCGTGAGCGCTTGAGAGAGGCAGGGGAGCTCAGCATCTGGACTGATTTTGCATCGAGAACCGTTTTTGATATTCAAGATGTCTTGGGCGGGGATGTAGAACGCGGCTACGTACGATGACCTTCGCGGTGCGGCGCGAGATGCTCTCAAAGTGCTCAATTTCCATGTTAGTGAAGGCTTTGGGTGACCAGCGAGAAGTTGGGCAGACTGGTGGCATTGACGATTTGCCACCGGAGACTACAGCATAATTGGGTAGTTGATCTGCCGAATGCCTAGTCTTCTTCGTCCCATGATGAACTCCAGCTCCACTCCACGGTCTACACGAGAAGCAAGGATCTTTTTTGCCGACCGTAGCATTCCGTGTTTGCAACAGCGCCTAAAGCGAGCCGCAATCTCTCCTTTCGCTTCTACGGGTCCTTCTCTAGCACCCAAATCTCGTTGATATCCGCGCTATAGCTTAGGCGCAGGATGGTTGGCGCGACTGCTATTCGCTCTTGTGCAATTTCTTTCCTTTTCAAAGGCGCGCCTGCTGCGCTCGACCCTCTTCCCTCTTCAAAGTCTTCTGGGTTCACGTCTCTTTCGATGGGGCCATTAGCATGCATTAGCCAGGCTCTGAGCGTTTCCTTACTGATACAATGCAGCTGTGCTTTACCTCAAGAAAGTAATGTTACATGCCTGTTTCGTGAAGAAACATGATTCTGACTTCTTGAGCAGCCCCGAACGATATCACGAAAAGCAACGACTACACAATCCAGCACTGCAGTCTACTCACCCCACAGGTCCAAAACGCGCTAGAAAATCTCTACGATGTTCTACCACTGGCTATTCGGGAAACCCATTACGGGGTAACAAGTGCACCATATCAAGCGTTTTTCAAAAATTCGTATTACGAGACGGTTGTCCATGGGATTTTGAGCAGAGTCACGATCGGAGTGCCACTTCGTCTGGAGTTCGGCAAAGAATTGCTGGTGCCGAGTCTCGTCTGCGCTTTGAAACCAGACACAGTGATCGTTCACAAAGCAGGCCAAGAATTTGACATCTATGATATTTGCAAAGGAAATCCGACTTGGGCGCTCATGTACTACCCGAAAACGTCGAACATCTTCATCTGCCCTCTTTTCTTCCTGATGCCGACACTGCCAGCCGTAGGGAATTGTCCGACTGTCAACGAGGCTACGAACCAATTCGAAGGAAACTTTACTGCTTTTTGGCAGTCGCAGATGTACATGCTGCTGCATGAGATTGCTCATTTCTACATTGGCGTCACGGTTGAGGATAGCGTGGACGAAACCATGGATTGGAACTATGCGTTTTCGCTCTCGCCGATGAATGCGACTTCCAATGCGCTGAATTATGTTCTCTTTGTGGCCAGTAAGTGTATTTTCACCTGGAATGGTTGGTCGTGTAAACGCTTAGTATCACCTCGGCGCTGACGCTTACCATTTAGGCGTCGACAAAGGATGCAGAGACTATCCACAGGCAGATCAGCCGCAGTCTTTCGAAGGTCGGAAGCTTGGAACGATGCTAGATCTGCTAAATACGTCTTCGCCAGACATCGTGGAAAGCCAGAGACTTGACTCTGTACGGGGTAGAGTGTCACCGTATCATACCGATGCTACGAACCTAACGTTTGCGCCGAAGAATGAGACTTCCTTTAGATGAGAAACTCGTGGAATACGCGTGTGCGGTCCAAAGCATCTTAGGCTCGCGACACATCTGCCCTGAGTATCGATGTAGCTGATGCAGATGCCGTCGCCTCTGTATATGTACATGTCATGGCCGGAGCGGAAAGAGAGAGGAGAGAGGAAATGCGCCCCATCGTAGGGTGGTATAGTATGGATTATGAGCCATTGTAAGGTCGCAGCATGTCCTGCGACAAAAAAAAGAGCGCTTACTCCGCTTGGTAGAGAGAACAGACTACGAAAATATCTAATTTGCTCAAATCTGATGTATTGGCCACGCGCTCCGCTCTGATTGCTCATCCTCCCGACAATATTTGACGGGAACCACTTCATGAGTTCTGAGCTGTTAATGATTTCTTTCTCGCATCACCATACAGTTATAGTCAGCATTAGCTAGATCCTGGATCTCAGAGTAACGGTAAAAGCAATGCGCCAAGCTGGGAGGCGAAAATGAGTCACGTGATAGAATCTTGAAACTTGTGACCGAGAATATCCGTACGTCGTACCTCAATCTTGCTCCAACTCTTGACAAAACAAGTGCGTCTCCCTTTCCAAAGCTCACTTCTGTAAGTTCACGAATTGTCAGTGTTGTATTGCCTTGTTGGTACGTGGCACAACAATGCGACATGAACAAAGGAAGCCACAATAGCCTTTGTCCTCTCATTGTCGAGTATCGCACCTTCCGATATCAACCCCTCGTACCTGAGCCCTTGGAACTCCTAGCACCAGTCTTCGGCCTCCAACCTCATCTCGAGTCCTTGTTCAAGACGTCATTACGTGCTTGGTGTTTTGACAAAGTATTCACCGCATCCTCAACGTCACATCGCGTTGCTTTTATCGCGCCACGCCAAAAACTCGCGCTCGCCATTTCACAACACGATTAACCGTTCTTTAAGAACAGAACCTCCATTATGCAGCCTGGAGAGTGCACCGCCTCCATCGGCAGCTTGGAAGACCCTACAACATCGCGAGTCATCACGGATAACGCCGACTGGCTAGAAAAGATTACCCTTGACTCATCCGATTACATCCTTCCGTCAGCCGAGGTCAATTTCGAACTCCCTCACGACACCGATTCAGCAGACGAAGATGCCGCTCTAGTCGCACACTTGTGGGACAGAGACCACGCCTCTGACCTTGAGGCGTACGAATGGAATTCCGACGACCTCGTGAGCGAAGCCTGCTCAGATGATGGAAACGCTTCTGAGGAGGAGCTCCCAAGGTTGGCCCGTAAGGACGAGTTTGAGCAGGGTATACGGCGAGAGGGGACTTGGATGAGGGAGTACCGCGAGCGGTGGGAGGAGCATCATCTTTTCTATAAGTCGAAGATACAGTCACGGTTGGAGGCCTCCGGGGATGAAAAGGGGGATTATGAGGGGCATTCCTGTGTCTCGGAGAGTGCTTGGAGCGCTGCGGGGAAGCAGGGTTGGAGTACCCCTGCGACTTCTGGTGGTGGGGATTGGACTACGAGTTGGACAGCAGGGGATGGCTGGACTGAATGGAAGAAGGAAGATCCAGAACCTTGGACCCAACCCGGCACTCCATCACCGCAAGATACGGATATCGTTGATGAGGACGGATCTGCAAGAACAAATGAGGATTCTGGTGAGCTAAATTTCTGGAAACAATCATCGGGTTTGGGACCCCTTAGTAAGAGGACTGCTTACAAGGAATCACGCAGCACTCCAACCCTCTCCCACTTCTCCAAGTCTACCCATACCTTACCCACCACCACTTCATCCTTGTACGATGGACCCACTATTGCAAACCTCGACGACAGCACCGCCCTTCCTCCTCCTACCTCCTCCCAACTCGCCAAAACAGCCCTTCGAAACCCAAAGCGGACCGCAAGATTCGGAGACCCAGAGCCTGTGAATGCAAAAGCGACCAGCTGCTCCGACCTCGCACTCGACGCAAAAATACTGGACAACTTTCTCGACACCTGCATTGAGAAGACCCAAGCTCTGCTCGCAGAGGCGAAAAAGGTTCTCAGTTCACAGTCAAAAGTCGAGGAGATCTCGGAGCTAATAGAAAATGGAAGGCAGCCTTCTCGCCTGCAGGAGGCGGCGCTAGTTGGCGAAGTGAGAGCACCAGGAGCGCTGTTGGAGGAGAGTGTCATCACTCCCGCAGAGATCGTCAGGGTCGAGGGCTGGTGGAAGGTGAAGGGCTGCGAGACGTGGACGAAAGCTCCTGGCCCGTGATAAGTAAAGTGACGCAACCGTTCTCGTGCTGTAGTCCCTTGCGCTGAGAAGTAACGCCTAATATATTTGCAATCATAGTGCAGCGCGCAGGGCGGTATTGGTTGTCTTGCATGTTAGCTGCGTTTTTCCCATATACGCATTTCAGTTTCCATGCTGATGAGTTGAAATTCCTTACTTCGGATACCTACAAAATAAGTGCCGCGGCTCATTCTGCTCTTGTTGCGTGGTACCGCGTCTTTTGGAACATAGCGGACGAGATCCCTAACACCGTCGAACGTCTTCCCCCCCTCTGTATATCTATTCTTACTAGATACGACGCTCACCGCCATCCTCTCCTCTCGTCTCTTCTCCTCTCCTTCCCTCTCCTCTCTGCTCCTCTCCTCTCCTCTCCTCTCCTCTCCTCGCCATCTCTCGACGCTGCTAGACCGCATACCAGCTTCTCAGGGAAGCCTACCATGGGCTCCAGTACACGCACCCATCGCCCATCATGGCCACGACAAAGGAAAAAACCTCTCACATACTCGTTGAAAGAATGAAAACAAAAGAAAGAAGATTCGTCTTTGTCTCTTGTAGTGGAGAAAAACAACGACAACAAAGGGACTCCCGAATATCATTTGTGCGCGCGTCTTCACAGCACGAGTTTCTTTGTTAGTAGTTGTAAAATTTGTCTCTTTTCCTGGGGCCAATGTTCAGAAAGAAAGAAAGAAAGAATTGCCCATCTCATTCGTTATCTTTCCGACACATTCCAATCCTAGTACAATTCCCAACTATCTGCACTCTCACCCTACAGCAGTAAACAAACGACCGCAAAAGCAGCCACTGGCTCCTTCTCTGCTTCTCTTACCTCGCCAGATAGAACGTCCACGCAGGTCGTGCCACACCACCCACGCGAACCGAAGCAAACCAAACCCTACAACCAACACCAAAATCAAATCCAAAATCAACTCCAAATTCAAATCCACCACCATGCCCCACCCACACCCACCCCTCCCCTCGCCCCTCTCCCCTCTCCCACCACGCCCCGAATCTCTCGGCCCCCTAAGCCAATACCACAGCCCCGCAACCGCCGATACTTACGCTCGACACGCAGAAGAACCAACCGTATCGCCCCTCGGACCCGATTCGCCCACGCTGGGATACCTGTCGCCCGTTTCGATCGTGGGTCCGGATCCACGTTTGGATAGACACGGAGTAGATGAATGGGGGTTTAGGGCGCCGCGTGCAGGTGCAGAGGTAGCAGCAGAAGAAGAGCATCCCGCTCGCGACGACGCGCCGCATACGCAGGAAACGTCTCGAAACCCACTCGCAACGCCACGCCCAACGACGTTGTACCTCGCCGACCACGCCCCGCACCTCGAGGCGCCGGCGCCGATCGCGCGGCCGCATTGTCGGAACGGGGCGGGTGGTCACGAGGGGCGCTCTGAGGTGGGGTTCGAGGATGTGGAGTTGCGGGGGGGTCGGAACGCGAGGGATGGGGGGGACGATGTGGAGGGCCAAGGGAGGATGAGGACGATAGCGGGGGTTGAGGGTAAGGGCAGGAGACGGAACTGTCTCATTGGGTGGGTGTTTGTGCTCGCGCTTGTGGTTGCGGGAGTCGTGTTTGGGGTCTTGATGAGGGGGGCGGATAGGCCGGGAGGGGTGGCGGGGTGAGTTGGTGGGGATGGGGATGGGGTTGGAGATGGAGATGGAGATGGAGATGTGGGCGGGGTTCGGGTTGAGAGTTCGGTATATTTCGGTAATTTGAGTCTGGATGGGATTCTGTATGGACGGAAAGCTTGGTTTAGTAGTCTTGGGTGGATGGACTCTCTTTTTCTTTGACTTCCTCTGTACAAAAAGAATCAGACAAATACTTTAGACTCGATGCGGTTTCCTGGAGATATGAGACATAGAGATAAACCATGCCTGGTTCATGTCTGGCTGCCGCTTCGCTCACCAAAGCTCTAAACCTGTCCTTCTCAAGTCAAGACACCAAAAGTCTCAAGGATGCCAAGGAAGACTGTAGACTGGGAGATAATTGCACAGTGGATTTACTTAGTCGTCGGCCAACTTAGTTCTGTTAGCTTGGTGCCTGAGGACTCTTCCTCCAGCCTCTATTGCTAGTTACTCGCAACCTCTTTCACCATTAGTGGAGTTGCACGCGAAAAAACCTACAATACCATTGCCTCCTGCCTTATCTTCATCGCTTCCTCAAGGTGTGGCCAGTGAGCTCCCTCATACTGGGGAAAAGTGAAAGCGTTCGGAGACGTTTGCTCGAGACCATGATGCTGAGGCTGCTAACCGAAGTGTCCGCCGTGGCTAGGAAAAGGGAGCGCGTCAGTCTATCAAGGATGATACGCGCGAAGAAGAGGAGCGGTTGAACCCGAGATTACAGAAGCAGCGCGGAGTACTGCAGCGTACTACTGATAAAACTTGGGGTATTGGGAGGAGCACAAGTGGTTTGGCGAAGGTCGATATCATACCAAGAGATGTCTTGACCGGCCAGAACACGGGCGGAATGGAGGGCGCTGAACGTACAAATGAAGGAGAATCCAGCTCTTACGGGAGGCAACTTACTGGCTTGGGAAAAAAGAAACAAGAGATCTTTTTCTGGACGGACAGAGGATGGGGCCGCTTGCTTCGGAAGCCGGCTATGGTGTCGCAAACGCTTTTGGAAGGAGAGGCTCTGGAGAAGATGAAGAAGGAATACGCTGTGGAAGACAACTGAATAAAACCGTCGGCCTCAACAGGTCGTGAACACCTGCGATTCCATTGCATTAGCATGCAGCTCTCTCTCTGGTTCACTCGCTTTACTGGCTTGAGACCTTGAGGCCCCTTCTTGCTTTCTACCTTTCCGAACATGGTTGCGTCTAAAGGTTTTACAAGAAGACCTTGGCATCTAGATTGCCGGCTGCGATGAAACTCCTTTGGGTGGTTGGAGGGTAAGTATGTTTTGAGGCATGTCAAATTTCATCTTGTGATAGAAGCCGTTATCAATAGCGTTTAAAACGAGCTACACAGTCTTCAAAGATTCATGGCTACAAAGCTTCTGATATTTATGCACTGACACAGTCTAAGTGCGGCTTCAAATCAGCAATCTAACTGTGGACAATGCCAATTCTACAGGATCATAGTATCCACTTCCACCAGATACCAGATGCTCACCCCTCATACATCGAAGACCTTAGCTGAAGATGCGGCAGAGAGCCCTATACCGTGTTGAGCTCCATGTACACCAGTTCCTGCAACTGCCACTCACACCACCGCGCCCATACTGGGTCCCGCAGAAGTGAAACCTCCGGACCTTCCGAATCCCAAGAAATACTAGTCGTCTCCTCGTCTATTCGCGGCTCATGATGTTCATAAAGACGGCCCATTTGCGCAGCAAGCGAGTGCACCGCATCGTCGATCACAGAAACGGGGATCGATTCCGCGGTTTCTCTCCCTGCTTTGTTACCCGAAAGCTCTCTGATGATGACACGGAGCAACGCTAGTGCCTCTGCAGCTGGGCCGAGTGCATTTCGGCCCCCTGCAGAACCTCGATTTTGAGCCTTTGCCAGACGAGCAAGAAGTCCAGGATGAATGATTGCATCCTGACGGCCACCACGGGCTGCGGAGGTGAGGAGAGGAACCGGAAGACGTACTCCGCGCGTACCTGGTACAAGCGAAGTACTGTCCCAGAATCGCCGTCCAGATTGTGAGAAGAGCACCTCTCGACATATGGGACAAGTGTTCTTTGGTTTAAGGTCAACCGCAGTGGGGGACAGCCATTCGGCGATGCATTTACTTCCGAAGATGTGCCCGCATCTAGCAATTCTATGTCAGCATTCTGTTTCTAGTACGTAGCTTGTGAGCTTCGTAATATGTTGAGGGACACCCTGCTTAAAGAAATACCGCGTGCAAGCCACAGCAATATCCGTTGGAGACGAGATTCAAGAGGTACTCACGGGAGCTTAAGCGGTTTCTCCGCCCATTTGAAGAAAGACTCTTGACATATGTCACACTGCCGATGAGCCCATAGGTCTTCCAGGTTGACGACCGGAAGCGAACTGAGGAAATTCTCGACTATACAGCTTGGAGGCATGACCTCCTAGTCTTGAGTGGCGTCCCTGTGGAGCAGGTGGCTCTTTTAATGGTGAGGTATAGATTTTTCTTTCGCAGTATCAACTTGTTCGGATACAACCTGGTAAGTTCTCTGCTTGGATTTTCTTGGTGCCTTGATGTAGAAAGAAGACCAGATCAGTGCTGCCGCATGACCACTTATACTCGATTCAACGTGTTATGCTCAGAGGTGTGTTACGCGCAGCTCTGTTGTGTTCACGTCAAGTGTGTTGAGAGCGTGCTGGATCTGGCAAAATCCGGAGCCAGGCCAGAGAGATGACAAGCCTGGTGGGCGCTTCGGCCGTTGGCTATCTCTGTTACGCCTCACCAACGGAGATCTGGCCAAAGAGACCGCCTAGTGCACAGATCTCCCCGGGACATTGCCAAGGTTTGGGCAAGACTGTGCCAGAAGGCGGTTTCCATATCTGGCTCATTCGACACTCCCGGGCATCATGCATTCTCGATACTAGATTCCCTCCACTGTAGAACAATGTGTTGAACAACCAAAAACGGCAATTTGAATTCCGGCGACTAATGGTACTGATTCCATCACCAAAAACCAAGATGCTTGCCTATCTCAACACCCACACACCCATATCTCTACCGTACGATCACCTCCCAGCCTAATCGCGGTTTCGATCCAGCAAACCCTGCAGCCAATTCCAAATTAGACTGGTATCCGTTTTTCTCGAACGACTGGGGTAAGGCAGACTTTGACTGAATCATCCAAGCACTCATATAGATGAGTCTGACGACGCCTGCGTTTCCATGCTTCGCATAGAGTTCTTCCGTGACAGCTTCGGAAGCAAGGAGTCCGCTATAAGAATGTCCAAGGACTATGATTGGATGGCCGGCGCTAGCTAGGTCGAATGCCACAGCGCGTACAGTCGTGACATCGTCCTCGAGTCTTGGATTGGGAGGCCTCACATCGCCGTTGGTCAGTAGACGTGGGCAGCGCACGATGAATTCTGCTTTTGAGAGAAGATCTCAGAATGAATTATACGTTGCTGGCAAGTCGAAGCCTCCATGAACAAGCAGGATTGCCGGCTCGTGGGCAGTGGACACATGGGGCTCCATCACTACCAGTTTAGATAGATTGAAATCTGCATGCGCTGTTCAGTTCTCACAAGCGCAAAAATATGGTCTTGACAAGCAAGGATTACACTACATGCTTCGCAGATGTTGGAGGGACAACTAAGTTTGATGAAAGGAAGGGTATAAAGATGGATACTTCTCCACCCAAAATCTGAGAGAGGAAATCGAGATAGGTCGACAGAATTTCGGCAAGTCACGTGTCTTTCTGGAATCGATCTTGCATCATTCGTCTCGCAAGGTATTATATTGACGACAAGCCGTGGAGATACGAGGTGCAAAACAGAGGCTGCTGAGTCGTGAAGCTATGGAGTTATGGTATGTTTTCAAGAACTGAATCTTGTGTATCTGTGAAGACTTGCTCGCACAGGAAACAGCATTCGATGGAGACTGAGCGCGCAGGCTTTCTACCTGAGACTATTGCATAGGTGCTACTTGTTGGTGGAGGAGACTGGTATTGATATAACTGAAAAGGCTTTTTCGGAAGATATCTACCAATTAGGCTCTAATGTTGGCCAATGCTAGCTGCGGAAAAGATCGACAACATGACCTGTATTCAGGTCTTGCGGGTCTATAGGGTAATCACATATCAGTCTACTCCAGCAGGCACACTGGCTCTTACTACAATAACCTTTCCATGTTACACAAGAATAGTTTAACCTCTTAAGGCGCATTCCCATTGATACAAGACCACCTACTTGCTATTCACAACCCATCGTACCCATTTCTTTCGCAACCGTCTCACCGCTCAACTGTCTCGACTACAGCCCCGAGAAGAATCGCCCTACCCTGGGAAGTTGAATCCCATGACTCTCGATCAACTCCCGATGACGAATACGGAAATCCTCCAATCTCGCATGCAGCTCCACACTATCCGCCATGAGCTCTCTGAGTTGCATTTCACTCCCAGGGGTCAGCGGAGTACTCTGTGCCTCAAAGCTAGCCAGCCTCCTCTCCATTGCAATCTGCTGGCGCGTGATCTCGTTGAGTTCCCTTCCGAAGGACTCTACATCTTGCATACTCAGACTGGCTAATACCAGGCGTTCATCCAGGTCCGTCTCGGTAGCCGGTCGAGTTGTTTGAAGCATAGCCCTTAGCTCCGTCTCAGTCAACGGTGGATTCCGCACTTCTGGTTCGAAGAAAACACGTCGGCATAGCGGACAGCTGTTGCTTGTCGCCAGCCATTTGGAGATGCAGTTCCGGCCTATGACATGGCCACATGGAAGCCGGACAGGCAATTCGGGGTCTTCGGTGCTGCTGAAGGGATCCATGCAGATATTGCAGCTGCTATCCTTCGGTAGGTCCTTCAAGTTCATGCCTGGAAGCTGGTCAACGAAGTTTGTCCCTGCCTGCGTGGAGACATTGTCCCCCGACGATTCTCCTGTTGGCAAAGAAGGGGTGATAAGATCCAGGAGACTTGAATTGTCGGGGTAGTATAGATCGTCTCCATCTCTCGAAAGAAGCGCTATTTCAGCATCCAGCCGATCGATAGCACGGTGGATTTCTGCCATTTCCAAATCATGTTCTTCACTGCTCATTTCAAGCTCTGCGATGGCTTGCTCGATGTCGCGATGAATGACTGAGATCGGGCGCGGCCGTGGACTTTCACCGCGTGAATTACGTTCCATGCTTGACAAAGTAGGAAGACGCTCCCCTGCCATCTCTTGAAACTTACTCTTGCTTGGAGTTTTGATCTTCTGGACGATGGTAGTGAGAGCTGACGGTGGTTCAACGAGGTGAGTTGATGTGATTGGGAGGAAGTTGAAGCTGTGCACTGAGATGAAGGTGGAGCTATTAACACAAGAATACTGTCAAGCCAATATATACAGGTGTTTAGAAGGCAGTGGTGCAAAGTCAGTAACAAAGATCATTGTCAGCAAAGCAAAATGAATGGCAACAATTGCGTTATTCCTTGATGCATAAAGAATGAATCTCTACTAACAAAGGTGCATTGACAAAATTTCTCGATTCACTCTTGTCTCAGAGACGGCTGTGAACAAAGGAATCTCGTAAACAATGCTCATTGTCGCTAAGTCACAGCTCGCACACACTCTACAGCCATGACTCTCTAGATAAGGCATGACAATGAAAAGGCGGCACTCGCTCGGAGACGGTGTGAACAAAGGAATCTCGTAAACAATGCTCATTGTCGCTAAGTCACAGCTCGCACACACTCTACAGCCATGACTCTCTAGATAAGGCATGACAATGAAAAGGCGGCACTCGGTCGGAGACGAAATGCTGTGTTTTGGGGTAGATGATGAGCTGATGATAGAAAGTACTTCGATAGCCACTGATCATATGCAGGGCACCGCACGGGTTTCATCCTATCTGAAGAGGGACTGACAACCTAAGAGCCATGCCATGAATAGGATCCGCCGATTTTCAGCCCGTCGAGCCCACAAGATCTCCCTCACGGTCCTCGACAGCTGAAGCAACGAGCTTGGAGATCGCTGAACCTGGGACGAAGCGCATCCTGATTCTAAGACCCTATCCAAAGCTACACGGTCCCTCACGTTCCCCTTCGTTGCGCTCGACACGCCCCTGCAATGTTTGTCCTGGCCACATCTCCGTATCCTCTGTCACCAATCCACCCGTACCATCATTGAATATTGTGAGCCTGCATAAGCCGCCACCGAGCAGCACTCGCTTGGGTGATATGGTCATGTGTCCTCTCGTGCTCTTCGTTCCTCCGCAGGGTTTCATCCATTGAGATTCTCGGCCCATGGGCGTTCCGGAAATGACTCAGGCTTCTGCGTAGAATACCCAGCTGATCTTTAAGTGCGACTTTGTTGCGCTCGAATAAGACGGCGCGACATATTGGACATGTGTTGTTTTTGGTGTTCAGCGCGGAGGACGTCAGCCAGCTTAGCAGACAGTCCTTGCCAATGATATGGTTGCAGGGGAGGCGCACTGGGCTTTCACTGTGCTGAAGATCCTGGTATGGCTCGATGCATATCGGGCAATCATGCTTGTCTTCCAAAAGATCGGTGAGCGAGAGGACCGGGAGGGATTCTAAGAAAGTCTTGGCTCTGATATTCGATGTTTCCAAAGCACCGGTGTCCATCGCGTCTACTCTGGCTTGAGCGAGACGGCTACGAATTTCGTTTCTCCGATCTCGTAACTGAGAGCGATTAATCGACCTATCGGAGTCTTGGTGTTGAGAGACTGGGCCAGGAGCGTCGAATCCAAAAGCTCCACGGATGTTGGCGCGAACGTTGGCAAGGACGACAGGATTATCGCGAGGTGCGCTTTCTATATGGGCTGACCTCTCAGATACGCTCGGGAGATCCATGACTTTTGTAGACTCCGGGCCCTTTGCGGTCAATTCGTTGATGCGTAAGGTAAGAGACCCGAGTTCGTTCTCTGGGTTTGTGAGAGTCTCAAACTTCTGTCGCAATTAGGGAATCGTAATGAATGTAGCTGTGTCAAGAGTGATATTTCAAGATTAGAAGTGTTACTGGGAAGAGTGATAGGAGCTGGAGAGGATTGTAGTGAGCGAGTGGTAACGGAGTGTCAGGGACTCAATGGTCTGTTGTACAGTGAAGGCCGTACGATATTGCCAAGCCACGCTGGGCCCAACCAGGTCGCATGGTGTTGTACAAGGCTGAAACCGTGACATGGATAGACTAAACATAAGAGTTTGACATTCTTCGTGCCCGCAGGAAGAGATTGTAGTGCGTCTTATTACGAAATTAGCGTCGACGGCAGATAAGAAAGAAGTGCACAGGGTCTAAGAAACGCTCTTACTACAAGTAGCAATACTGATTCTCTCCTAGCACTTTGCATTAATTTCGAAGGTGTTTCTCAAGTGAATGCACCTATCATGTCATCTGGGAGTACCAAACTAACCAAAACCCGTGACACCAAGTAAGCCATGCTCGAAATTACATGCGGTCTGGGTTCCTCGAACACAGTCTAACCTCTACAACAGTACAAACTTCAAATATCAAAGACCAGGCCCACCCTGAGCTCCCCTCCTTTGGAATCGGATTCGGCCTTCAATTTGCCTGAGCCGTGCATCGTTTGCTCTAATCCTGCCCCCGATTCGAGCAGTCTCCGCCCAGCTCTCCTCGTTCTCCGGACCTGCCTGAATTTCCGACAGTCTGGTAAGATGCCCAGTGTTCTCCGCTGCAAGTGCCGAAAGACTCCGCATGTCCAATTCATTAATACTCACGGAAGCCGCTAGTGTCTCTCTTTGCTCTTCGCGTGCCAGGTGCCTTGAGGCTGCCGACCATGACAATAAGTGTAAATTCAAGGCACCTAGCAGCTCCGCGTGTGGTGACACATCCTGGCTGAAGGAGGTTGCACGACACATAGGACAGGAATTATTGCCTTCGAACCATTTTGCGAGGCACCTGGATCCCATAATGTGATTGCAGGGTAGCTTCACTGCGAATTCATTGTTTTCCACCACCCCTGGGTCCTGGTTGTCAAAGCGTTCTTTGCAGATGTGGCAGTCTTGAGAGTTTTCTGGCAAGTTCTCCGGTTTGACGATGGGAAGAGACTCTAGAAACGCTGCTGCTACTGACCTCGAAGACGGAAACAGTCTTCGAGCCCGGGAGGGTTCTGTCTCAGGTATTGGGAGACTCTGAGTCTCAGGTGGTGAAGGCCTCTCAGACTCAGCTGTTGAAAGTTGCTCACTGTCGGAACCAGCATTCAGGCTGAGTTGAGCCGTATCAGGGTCCAGATGATCCTCGATCACATGTGGGCCAAGCCGATCTGCCATGTCGATTTGAAAGCAATACCGCTAGTGGGAGTTGACTGTAATGTTTATTTTAACGTTGATGTTGGATGTTGGATGCTCTGTGGAGCTGTTAAGAAGAACGAAAGGAATGACCAAAGTTTGTGTAGTCCATGAAGATGAGATGTGTCAAATAAGATAGTGTTAAAAGCCCAACAACGCCCCTTGTACGGGGGTCAAGTAGCAGGATAACAATGACATTGTTCTTCGTGCACGCACAGACAGTAGGTTTATCTCCGATAGATTTCTTGTAAAAGCCATTGACATGGTCCCGGAGACATGGTAGAGCAAAAAGGATGACAATGACCATTTCCTCTATCTCTTCGCACGCAGATGATGAACACACGAGGTTTTTTTGTACATAAGAGATATCCTTCAATTTGGGGGGTACGTAGAGAGAGAAAAGTCACAGGCTTGACCTTCTCCATGCGAATAGACCATCTATCATCAGGCTTGGTTTGTTGAAAGATGTATTGGCCGTATCATGTGCGTCTATTAGTCTAGTACTTGATAGACTACATAACCTTGAGCATGCTAACTTTCAAGCGGGAATGCACAACGAAGTGTTAAGTAAACCTTCCGGCACTCTCCCTCATGATCACTGGGGGGAAACTAGCAATCTGAAACAGAAACGCGCTCTGATCCTCCAACTCTTCATGAAAAGTCTTACGTCTAACTCATGCTTAACATCTGCGTCCGAAAGGTCACAACCCGTGTGCTATATTCCGCCGTGGCCCGAACAAGCGTACCTATCGCTGCCAGGCGCTCTTCGTCGGTGGACTAGCGCGGAGTTGTTCCAATCTAACGCTTTATTCGAACTTCTCCCTCTCCAGTGCCAAGAGTCACATTTCAACCTCGTGTGGGTTGTGTGGTTCAGATCCTCCGGTATCCAACTGCTCTTCATTTGCCAGCACGGTAAGCACTTGGGCCTCAGGCAATGCTGCTTCGGTGTCGTCGCCCACGGCATGAACTCCATTTCGCCCTGGTCTTGCGCGGCCGTCAATATCCTCTCTTGCGAAATTTCCCGCCTGAACATGATAAAGAGAACCTGAACGGTCCCTCAATCCCTCTTGGTTTGCCAGCGCTGTGAGCACGGCCGGCTCAAAGATCGCTGCACGGCACATAGGGCATGAATTGTGATCACCTGACAACCATTTCTCCACACAGGCCCGGCCGACGATATGATTGCAATGGAGCAAGACCGGCGTATCGGCCTCGCTGTATTCTGACCCGGAAAAGGGTTCCCGGCAAACAGGGCAATCTTGGGATTCTTCTTTGAGATCAGCAAGATTGACAACGGGCAGCGAATCCAGCAATCTTGCAGCTGAGGAGAACAGCGTTGGGGGATATTCATCATCTAGGAAATCGTCTGTGTCTTGCTGATTGATTTCACCAACATGGACGCCGATGTCCAAGTTCAGTCGAGCAGTTTCGTGGGCCATGTCCGCTCGGCTGCGGCGAGCAATTTGATCATCTAGATCAGCCTGGCTGGTAAGTGGGCGAAGACTGTAGTTGATGTTCACTGAGATCTGGACCCCATGAGCTTGTGCATTGTCATGGACACGCGCTTGGTACGCTACCTCAAGATCTGCCATGACTGCTTGAACTTGTTGATTGAGAGCATCCCGTGTGACGTTCCGAAAGCTTTCGACGTTCGCGTCGACGATAATGTTGGCTCTATGAGTGCCAGGCCGATCCGCCATCGTTTCTTCAGGCTCTGGCTTTTGGGGTGTATGTGGTAGATTTTCGATTCGGTGCACAGGGTATAAACGGTACTTATGGCTTTTTGCGTATGCTATATCGAGATCGCCGAACAGTCCTAGTTTCTGTATGACGTTTGAAAGAGTGTGATAACGATCAAGTATTGTGGAAAGAGACGCCAAAGTATCTCCTTGGCGAGGTCGAGTGTGTTGGTAGTCAGAGTGTCATGAACTCAACAATGATCTTTGTGTTGAAGAAAAAGAGCCCAATGACAATGATGGCGTTCTTTGTGTGACTACAATCAATGGCCCTAAAACAGTATGTCCTTTTGAAAAATTCGTCATTGTTCTGAGACCCACCCACGACCCTCGAGAGTGTTGAAGTACCAAGCTTGGAACTCACTTTCATTCCAACCCCCTCTTCTTGTTTCACTCATTGGCAGCTGCACCAAAGTCTCCTTCACGACAAACAACTCTGCATCCATACCGCCCGACTTCGTTCATAGTATCTTCAAAGCAAGATCAACACAATCAAACAATGGACACCGTGAGATCGGCTGGATCGACCTCATCAGCAGCACCAACATTCAGCAGACGACGCATGGAGAAATCGCTTGCAGAAGAGCTTGATGATGCATTCCGCGATGTAGACCTTGGCCCGGCGGATATCCTCGAGCCGATGGAGCATCCGAAAAGCAGCCATGAGGTGGTCACCGAGGACACCAGAAGAGTCGAGGACGTGGTCCCACAAGAGCACGTGGCACCCCTAGCTACCCGTCAGTCAAACTCCCCAGCAATCGCTAATGCTGATCCAGACTCCCCTGCTACCTTGATGGGTGACGACCAGCGGTCTCCTATCGCGAACACCATCAGCAATGCCACGCTTAGGCAAACACCCAGAAAGAGCAATTTTGTTGAGGACCTCAGTCCAGTCAACTCCTCATCCCAGCCCGTGTATCTCAAAGATTGTCGAAAACTTACAGCCTCGAAACACAATCGCGAGCTCATTGACAGGAATGCCGACGGCTTCTTTAAAATGGATACTATGCCCAGTGTGACAGATGTCCGGCGACGTGTTCAACAGTCCGATGGAATCGCGGCCCTGCAGAGGACTCTTGTCCCTACAAAAGTTTCTGACGCAGCTTCGTCCAGCACACGCAACTCTCACGCCTCGTCTTCCACGACGGTGGACTCAGTGAAACGTCCCTCGGCACTTCGACAAGTCACTTTCGCCAAGTCCAGTGGTCGCAAGCCTGATAGGAGTCAGGGTCCATATCCATACACTACCGACCGACCCCGGGCTACATCTCGCTTCTCCCTAGCGCGAGATCTGGTAGCCGCTGGCCACAGAAAGAAGCTTTCAGAGCCATCAGCACCTGCCAGATTCGTGAGACTGCCAACTGACCCCGTTGTTCACTTCAAACGGAGCTTCGGCGAATCTGGTCTCAAGCTCAGGATTCCCGAACCGGAGCCGGATGAGTATGAAGGAGATGATTCTGGATCCGTCACCTCCTTACCGGACGTTGACTCTGCAGGTGATCTCAAGTTCCGACCACACGACTCCGAAGCCCGAGACGTTGCCCTCAAGTTCGAATTCGGCATCCCACGCGCATTCATCTCAAACCAGTGCCTCGAATCCTCATGCCCCATGAGATGGGCGCACGCCAAAGGCCCCTACCACCACATGGGCAACCGACACAACAAGATAATGACCGGGCTCTTCGGCCACAGCAACCCGCCGCCAGAAATCTGGAATGCGTATCGGAACATGGTTCACCTGACGTGCGACGGTGAAGTTATATCGCCCGATGGACGTCCTGAGCCGAAAGCGGAGGATGACCTGGTCATTGCGTTCGCGATGTTTCATTATGGGGGGTTGAATGGGATGAGTGGGGTGGAGTTTCATCGGCGGTATGCGGGCCAGCACTTGTCTTCTCGGGTTGCGCTACGGTCTAGGAGTACCAGTTCATCAGAAGGGTGTTGTGGCTCTCATCCAGGGAGCTGGAAATGACTTAGACGATCTTCTGAGTTTCATTTCTTTCGAGGTTTTCTTCCTTGCTGTGGTAGAGTCACACGATCTTTCTCTAGGTTGGTTTGCCTGGGAGTTCTGCAGCAAGTGGTACGATATAGAGGATATAGTTGCGACGCATTCGGTTGCTAAGAGAGATACACAATCTTTACTGTCCTCAGTGCTGTTACTACCTGTGTGTCGATTATATATCATCAGGAAAGATTCAACCCAGTAACCCTTAAGAATTCTGCATAAAATTCAGTTGAAACCCAATAAGGTAAGTGACCCACAATTATTCTGTCCAATCGGCGTGAAGCAACGGGATATCTGCCACTAAGATCCGGGCATCCTATGAATGTCTGATATGTGACACAACTTGGCACACACTGACTGCTCTGAAAGATTTGTGAGTACCAAAAAGCATTGTCTTTGTTCATTTCACTGATGACAATAGAAACGAATGAGACAATGAGATGTCTTTGGGCATGAGACAAGTCGTGATCGGTTACACAACACATCTGTTCTCAAGCCAACTGTCTCATTTCTGAAGACACGCGTGATAAAATCAGCTCGATAACACCATCGCCCTAGCACCGGTCACCTTATCATCAAAGAACGCCGAGCTCAACGAGCTTCTGCAATACCACGAATCTTCCTCATCAGCGAGTACTCACATCTGAGCGTACCTACGAAAATGTCCACCACCCCAAACACAGCTCAACCCACAGCCTCTCCTTCTACCTCAAACGCATCTTCCACAGCCAACTCAAGTACGCAAGACCACAAGCAAGCCTCTGCCTCTCATGCGACCTCAAACCCACCGCCGAACGCGCCTCTTCCAGACTCAGACTCCGACCTCTCAGACGCACCAGACAGCCCCGTCTACCCTACCTTCACAAACTCCCCAACCCTCCTCCGCAACGCGCCTCCTTCAGACACAGACTCCGAACTTTCCGACGCACCCGACAACCCTGTCTGGCCTGAGGCTCCCCGAGTTCCACCAACGCCGCCTCGTTGCACCGAACTAGACTGTCCCGTAAGGCAGGCAATCCGTCGTCATAATCAAGGGCCATACCTCCACAACGGCGAGCAGCCGTGGATAAAAAAGACTATGTTCGGGGAGAGCAATCCGCCACCCCATGTGTGGGAGTCGTGGATGAAGATCCAGGCTGGGGATCGTAGCAGTACTGTCGAGGATGACTGGAACGTTTTGTCGTTCCTTAGATGGCACGTTCGTGATCCAAGTACCAATGTCAAGGGCAACTGAGGGGCGGGAGCGGTCGGGGAAAGAGCGGAAGAGGCCTGGAAAAGTCGAGAAGGGGATACATTGTCGTCGTTCTGAATCTCATTGCAGTGGTTCTTCGGGTGAAGAGATGCATGAACCATGGCCAGTGTGAACAAGCATGAGGATCGCCGCAAGGAATGTCATACATGGCCAATGTCAAGTGCCAATGATCAGGTTTATGATCATGAGACCAAATAGTAGTCGCGAATCCTGCCTGCCAGTTGCCTTCCTGAATCCGAATGCTAGTTGATCGCTACCACGTGACTGGAGTCGTCGGAGTATGAGTATCTCTAGTTTGTGTGTCATCTGTAGTAATGTCCTTTTGGAGTTGTACACCAATGAAGTCCAAAGCTCATTGAAGATACATATACTGGCAGCCATGCGTAGTGGAACACAAAACAGTGAGTGTTCTCCCCTATTTCAACACCTCTTTCCGTATAAGACATTCAACAACTACACCTATACCATCAAAGTCAACGTCTTCATGACTTATCGTCCATGCTTCTGATCAGTCTCCAAGGGTACCAACCAGAACAGATCCACACTTCAGCTCATATCAAGCCCTCCGCTCTCAGCTCTGTCCTTCTCACAGCCCTTAGTCGCTGTCACACTGCTACGATGCCTACCTTTCAGACCCTCCCAGTTGAGCTTCAAATGCTTATCATGTCCAACATTCACCTGAATGAGATCGAGAACTTCACGCTATGTACGAAATTCGTCCACCAGCTTTGCAAGGAGAGACTGATGGAACAGTATGCCAGAAAGCGTTACTTTTTCACGATTGCGGTTGGGCATATCGACAACAACACCTGGGACGGAGACCCACAGATCAGAGGTGTTCACCCTTTTCCGATACTGCGAGATCTACTTGCAGATCCTCAGACATGGCTTCACGCCGAAACTCTGATCGTTGGACGCTTGGAAGAACCCAGTGCTGATGGCTTCGGTGATCAGGAAGAAGCCGAACTCGATGAGTTCGGACTCCGAGACGTAGTGGCGCAATTTAAACGCAACACGTGGCTCCTGTGCAAAGAGTTTGAGGTACGGCGAAGCATGTTCCGAGAATGAGGGGAATCCGACCTTAAAAAGTGTCCAAAAGCCAGGAGTTGGACCAAGCAAATTCTTTCCGGGAACAGAGCGGCAGCAGCAAGCCTTCTGATCGCAATCCTTCCCAATCTACAGAAATCGAGTCCCGGAGGATTCACCCTTCGTATTGACTTAAGGGGCCTTGCTCCGCGCGGCCGTATTCATGACCTCGCAGGAATCAACTCCTTCAGCAAGTTGACAGATGTGGGAATGCATGGTTTCGACGAATAATGCGGTGCCGGCTATGGGGTTTTCGAAGGCTTCATGACGCACCCTTCGATGCGGACAATCAAAGGACGCCGAGAAATTGAAGGGGGGTACATCAAATCTTGCCAGAAAGGCTTCATTGATCCCTCAAAGGTGACAAGTCTCGAATTCTACCAAAGCGCCATCGACGCAGCGCTTTTTTCAATTACACTCTGGTCAATTAAAGGCCTGAAGAGATTCGTATACAGTTTCTGGGCTAGCCCTCCTCTGGACGATGCGCAGTGGGAGCTGCGCCAGATCGTTGGATATTTGGAGGCCTACACCCGAAAGACTCTCTGCCATCTCGAACTTACTGGTTCTTCGGACGTGCAACGTGCTGAGAACCTCTTCTTCGAGAAGGGTGAACCTTGCATCGGTAGCCTGTGCGCGTTTGAGGTCTCAAAAAGGATCAGACTGGAAACGATGACGCTGTACAAAGAGATCGAAGGCGCTGACTCCTGTACTGGAGAAAAGGAAGACATAATTTACGTAGAGCCGGGAGCAGATCTACTCGTCGAGCCAGAGCGTGTTGTGGATACTCTGTCAGCGTTGACATGTCGAGGGGGGCTGGTGGGTGGTCTATCGAACGAGGATGCCATTGCGATGCTTGAAGACTTGCCAGCAAGAGATAGACCGCCGAAGATGAACCTATAATAACACATCTGGGCATATCCAAAGATCTGTAGAGCTGCGTCTCGATAGATATGCATGCCAGAAAAAGGAAAGAGTCCATTTTGTTGGCCAGTGAGCCTCATTGATCATGACCCTTAAGCTTCAGTATCCGTAACTTCTTATGCCTCGCATTGACTGGGCTTGTTGAGGTTCTCCGCCTGCTAGAGCGCAAATATCTATCTCCTTCATACATCGAGGGAGACTTGCTTCTTGAGGCCATTACTGACAGTTATTGCAAAAAGAAAGACGAGATGAAGTTCATGATAATCTTTGCGCTAGTATACGGGCCCTAACCCTAGTATTAGCGTATACAGAAAACGTTGGAATACTTAGCACTGAGATTATCACACACACACCATCAAAAGTAATATTGAATAGATAAATCTTCTCTCATATCGTATTCTATTACTTTTCTTATTATATTTAAAGCTTCTATATATCTCACTTAGTTAATTTTTATTATTTTAAAATACTTCTTATAACGATTAAGTATAATACTATAAGAGACTATATTTTTAAAATAGATATAAAAAAGTTAAATAGAGCTCTTAATAAGTGCGATATTTAGAGAGATTTTAAAGATTAAACTATATTTACTACTATTACTATTATCTTAGAGTTATTAAGATCTTTATCTATCGCTATTAAGATTTAAATATCTTTAAATCTATCTTAAAGCCTCTAGTTAAAATATTAAGAATCTTTAATTATATAGTAATATAATATATAGTAAATATAAGATCCTCTATTACTTTTAGATACTTAATTATTTATATATTTATATTATTAATAGTAGAGAGAGAAATCTCTAACTACGTCGATTAGAAGATATTTCGAAATATTAAGATAAAATATTAAGAATCGACTAAGCGAGATATATAAAAGCTTTAAATATAATAAGAAAGATAGTAGAATGCGATATAGAAGAAGATTCATCTATTTAGTATTACTTTTGGTGGTGTGTATATGATAATCTCAGTGCCAAGTATTCCAACGTTTTCTGCACACGCTAATATGTGCCAAGACTACGCCAAGCCTTCGGAAAACCCCCTTTTGCCGGCATCTCGCGCCAGCATTTTGCAAAACTTACCTACACCAGCAGCGTCTGCAATGAACGCAAGACAGGGGATAGCATTGATTGCAAGATCAGGCCACCCTTTCTAGCTGACCCTGACACGCAGGTTTCAGGAATGAGGATGCGTATACCCTCGAGGTACGAGATTCGTCCCCAGATACAGATGTCGAAAATTAGCTTTACATCCTACCGATCGCGCGGAGCATTCTTATTAGCGAATGACAGTTAACAATTGTCCGTAGGCTCGACGCGCCTCGAGATCTAGAGCTTGTCGACAAGACAACGTCCTCATGGGAGGTTACCTAGAATCTTCAGTGCCGCGTACCGTCCATTCGATTCTTGAGGCCAGAAGAACGCTTCAGGTAAAACCATATGAAGGATCTCTGTGAAGGGCGAGGACAGGGGACGGAAGTGACAAGCTGGATGGGAAGGGCAATTTTCGAGGCTGTCTTCTGTTATGCCGATCATAAGCGGTGTCGGATCACCATGGTCCCGGGCATCGATGACCGCACTGTTGTCTAGTAGAAAGCCAATTATACCCAATGGGTTGCCTTCTGACTGCCAAATGAAGATGTCTAGTGCAGTACTTACAAACGAAAATCTCTGTGCTGGCCCGGCCAATCGATGTTTAGCCTCCGTCCAAGTTCGCAAGCAATTCGTCATTCCGAATCTGCAAGCCGATAAAAACATCCAAGGTCGCACTGTCTCCCAGGACTGGCAATCAAACTGGATCTGAAACCTGTTTTTAAGTCCTTTGAGAGATATCACGTACCGAACATCTCCCCTATTGGCAGTGTAGAACGCCCCGAATAAATCCACAAACGGTAAAACTTTTTCCGGAAAAACCTTCTCCGTCGTCAGAGGAAGGTCGAGATACCGGGTACTTGCAAGACCTGGCCACCCGGAGATGGAGACCGTAGTCTCGACTTATCTTGAGTTGTCTTTCGGGCTATCATCGAATCTCCATAGCCCCATTCGGGGACTATGGCTGAGTCTGGCAGTGCTTCTCCTCTTTGCAACCGGCGCTGCTCCCGTATCCGGCGCTTGTGCTCGAAAACAATTTCTTGATCGAACTCAGGGAGCCCGAGCGTGATGAGAACGTAGTCTGAATCTCTCTGTGTGAAAACCCATTATCCACCACTACAGCTTGTTAAATAACATCGTGAACTCGCCTCACCCCATTCCCACAAAATACCCTGTTCCTCCAAAGTCTCTGTTCAACCGCGTCCGATGCACCTCAGTGTCCGTTAGCAGCCTCACATCCACGAATCTCAAATCCGGTCTTTTTCCTACACTTCCTTCGCCTCCGTTCCTCTCTCTGCTCTCTAAGCCGTACATCTTACTGAACCCATCTTCGCGTGTCGGTGGCTGATTTTCTTCAATGGGGACCTTGGGAAAGAAGTCGCTGCGGGTTTGGGTTGAATGAAGCGGAATTGAGATGCAGCGCTCGGCCAAGCGCGCATGGCTATCACGTGTCATTTGGAATATCAGGTTGTATTTGACAAGCTAATTTTGAACCGACGTATGGGCAAAACGGAGTACGTGCGCTGCACTGTCGAGAATGACCAAGTCGAAACATAATGTTGTAACACCTTCCCAACGCCGAGAGTCAGGCTCATCATCCTCGTACCCATCGCTGTCTTCGAACCATCAAAAATCGTCTGCGACATCGCTATCCTTGAGATTTTCCAGATCACCATCGCAGTCGCTCGTAGCGCAGGCATTCGTTTTCTCGTCCCCATCTCCATGGTCCTCATCTTCTCCATCTCTCTCGCCATCCCAGAAGACGAACTTGGTGAGAGTTCCAGGGTCCGTCGGTCGATGAGGGCCGAGGAGCAGGCCCAATGTAATGTCCAGACGCCCGCGGTCTTCCGACTCGTACTCTTCAAATATCGTAGAGCTCTTTTCAGCTGTTGCCAAGGCTGTTAGGTAGCTTACCAAGGCGCTTTCGAATGTCGATAGCCTTTTCTAAGATACAAAAGTAGTCTAGTTGCAGTGAGACGCAACGAAACCTGCGGTTCTAGCGCCAGAGACAACATGCCGTAGTCCAGATGTGAAAATGCTGGCCAGAAGCGATAAGTAGAAAGATACGAGAAGGCTTACATTCCTTGCGCTTCGTCGCAGGGCATGCTAGGAAATGTCCCTCGATTATCATGATTCGAAGATAGTCATATATCCGCGCCGATTAGTGTACACCCATGTACATCACGATCCATACATCCTTATTCGCCCTTCTCCTTCCCTCTCCAAGCCCTCCCCAAAAACCTCTGGGTCAATGTCCCATAAAATGCCGCCACCAACGCCGCACTCAGCACCACAAAAGCGACCGGTGCCCCAATGGCCCAAAAAAGCGTCTGCCCGCTCTTCATATTGCGCAAATCACTCGTATTCATACCTAGATAGCTAGTCACAAAACTTAACGGTAAAAAGATGATAGTGACGACTGTAAAGACGATGATAGCCTTGTTGTTGGATTCGGCCTTTAAGGAGATGGATTGTGCGGCAAGGAAACGAGCGGTTTCCGCTTGAATTTGGAGTTCGTCGAAATCTTCGATGCGTTGGGATATGGATCCTAGGATGCGGTCGAGGATGGAGACGGAGAGGGAGCCAACGCCGTAAGTGATGGTGATTGTGGACTTGAATTCACGGAGAGTGTCATATTGCTGTCTAAGGGTGTTTTTGATTATATCAAGTTCTTCGCGGAGGAGTTTTATGTCGTCGTAGACCTGCTAGCTGTTAGCATATTGTCGTAGACCAGCAAGCTCTGCCATCAATTTACCTTTACACTAGCGGAGTCTCTAACAACGCCCTGTATCTTGGTCGTATACTCGGCATATACCTCGGTCAGATGGAAGTCGCCCTCCGTGGACATGGTAGAGATCAGGTTCGCCAATATTAGAGACACTAATGCCTCAGAGTCCACAGCTTGAAAGCCTGACGAGTCACGATAATCATCTGTATGTATCATCAAAAGCAGCTGCTTCCTGCCTTCCACGAGAAGACCTTCACAATCGTCGAACGTGGATTGCATCTGACTCCATGAATACTCACTCCAATTTGAGATGCTACTGATGACAACGAGCAGTAAGACGAGGTGCTGGAACGCTGCTGGAAGGGCTCGAGGAATTTGGTACCGTTGCTGCTTGCTTCCATCCTCAGCACGAACACCCATCTGTATAGTTTGGATCAAGTTGCAGATTTCGGAGAGGCGCGAGCGGACATAACGTAAAACAGTTTCATCCTGTCTTTGATTAGTGCACGGTTGTATGAAGAAAGTAGAAGATGGTACCTTCTCATTCAACAACTTGTGCAAAGCTCCCCAGTACTTAGAGATCACAGGAGCATCGTAGCCTTTGGGCACAAACGAGAGCAGAATTTTGCTGGCTAGATCGAAGATCCCTAACTTGACTGACCCTAAGTCATCCAGACCCGACATGCCTACGACCGAACGTGTCGAATTCCTTTGACGCAGTGATACACCAGCGAAGGCTAATGAGGGTCTTCTCGACTGGCTGACTGACTTAGTGACGTTGCGCTCCTCGCCAACAGCCAAGTTGTTCACGCCAGTTCTAGCATTTCTAATAGTATTCATCGTAGATGCTACATTGGCATACGTCTTCTCCGCGGTCTTCTCATACAGTATGGCATATTCAGGTTTGCCCTTTTTGGGCTTCTTGAGGGTGACGTGGACCTCGGTCATTACTGTATGCAAGATCAACTCTTCTGTTTTTGACGTATTGATTACTTGCTTTATTGCATCGACTGGCTTCTGGAGGAAAGGCTTGGAAGTAGGCGTCTCAGATACGTTTGGCAGTTTGGAAAGTTTTCCGGCCAGGTCACGACTTTCAGGTTGTTTGTGCTCAGCTGACCATAAGAAGATTGGCAGGTCGATCATTGGGTCAGCTAAAACAGGGGAAGAGACTTCAAGCGCAGCCTGCGATGTCGCAATCTTGGGTAATACCGCAGATTCCTTCTGTGCAAGTTTGATCAATCTCTTCAATTTTGGTTTGCTCTCCAGGCTATGCTTCGAAAACAAGACCTTTTTCGGCTTCGTTGGGTCATTATCACCCTGGCTAACACTAGAGACGTCGTTGGTAGGACTGCGCGGGCCCTCGGGCGGTCCGAAGCTAGGATATAGACCCAGCGTGGTAGGTGATGCAATGGAAGAGCCATTGCGCGAGCCGCCAAGAACATCGGATATTCTAGTCGAACTATCCGAACTGCTCTTTTGCTTTTCAACCAGGATTGCGGCGCTGGATTTAGCTTGATTACTACCTTCATCATCTCTCTTCGCGTCATCCGCATTGCGGAGTTTGTAGATGCCACCTTCAAGCACCGAGGACCTGACCAGATCCCAGTAAGATCGCGCCAATTGTTTTTCTGATGGGCGATAGTAAATATCATTGCTGTCCGTCATGGGAGAGATAGGAGTCATAGGAGACATTGGACTGCTGCGAAGACCGGGTACTTGCCCGTCACGTACGCGTGATCTTAGCAAATCCCAGCCAGAGCGAGAAGGGGTAGGCAAAGTCGAGACCCGAGAGAGAGAATGAGCATTTGGCATGTGGGAACGTGTACGAGATCGGACACGAGGAGCTTTGACATATTCGACGTTTGTGAAGTATCGGCTTCGGGAACCACTGTTATTTCTATCATGAAGGATCCATGGCTGACTTGCGCGGCCTCGAGCGGATGGCTCTCCGATGGACAAATCATAGGCGGAGCTTGAGAATGCGACATCTCTCTTGATCACTCGCGACCTAGATGTAGACCGCGATCTCGATCTTAGCCTCGCCCGATACCTTTCCGTTGGGCTCAACGGAGAATCATGATCGAGTCCACGACTGGATCGAGGCCACTGATCGTATGGGCCGGGAATGACGATTCTGGATCTTCTTCGTGCATCTTGCGCTGTGGGTACATCCAGATTCAAGCCGGCAGCGGTCAGCTCCAGCAGTTTTTCTTCTAGGGCTGGTATCTTCCGCTCTTTTAAGTCTCCCATCTGCTTGGCATCTCCCTTACCCTCCGCTTCCCGAAGCTTAGCCTGTAGTACACGTAAACGTTCAATAGCAGGCGCAACGTTGTCAAAATTCATGTCACTTGATACTGAGGACTCACTCGCATCGCTGGCTTGTCCATCATCCGAGCTGAAGACTGGCGAAGCGTTGGGGCTATTGTCTGAATTCATGATGACCTCGTTTCCTTCGTCGTCGCAGTAAGTGACCAGCAACCGACTAGATAAGGTCTCGTTATCCACAAGCCTTAGATGAATGACCTCGGTCTTTTTCTCCTCAACAAGCTTTGGCCACTTTTCTGCGTTCACGGGACTTCCATCTCTGGCAACAACGAGTTCGTACACGGGTCCACCTTTGAGTAGTTGATCTCTTATGAAGCTGTATTCATCATGTAGACAATTGTCGGTGATCTGTCTTACAAGGTCAAACCAAGTTTTGCAAAACCGTAAAGGCAGGTAGAAATCCTTCCCCCGGGCGTCAGTGAAATGCACTGACCACATTGCTTCATCTTGTTGCGCAGCTGTATACGATATGAGCTTGATGGTATCACCACGCAAGACAGAAGCATCTAGAGCCGAGCAGGTGATGATAGTATAATTATTAATTATGAGTACCCATATATGAGGAACATGTACCACGTGGTCTTCTTGTACCAAGTGATCTTTGATGGACGTTGTCTTGGTGATGACCTGTTCCTTGTCGCGTCTTTTGGTCGACTCAAGCCGGTAGCGTGACTGCAAAAGCGCACGCACAGGATGGCTTTCAGACTCTTTGTTTGACGTGTGGCGTTTGGGGCAACAAGTTGTAAAAACGGGCAGGCTGACAAAGGTCGCAGTCTTCCGGACGTGCCTCTCTTCAGGAGGATGAGACGCAGAAACGTCAGGATCTTCACCCTCATACACCAGGGTGATCGGCTTGAGGTACCGCCCATGCACGAATTTTTTCTCCGAGGTATTCCGGACCTTGTTCAAGAGACGCCCGACCAAGGCCATATCGTCATCGCCGAGGCCAGGGGTTCGCATCACTTGGTGGTAGAATTGTTTCAGTGTCATGGCGTCGCTTTCGATATGCTTCCACCGGCTTTCGCAACGGACTTTATCTTGGTCTGGTTTCCCTTCTCCATCCTTTACCGTCAATGTAACGATCTCTCGACCTTCGTCATCAGGGACCCATTTTGTAGAAATGATCTCCAGGAATTCCTGTGGAGGCAAAGCCGCTGAACCCCTCGAGAATTCCCGATCAATACCAAGAGGTGTAGAGTGTCCAAGACCGTATGGTTTCTCTTCAAAATAACCTTTCTCCTCATCTCTGGTGTGATTGCTCTTGCGGCGTAGGGGTACGGTATATCGTAGACGTCGTCGAGGTTCGAAATCGCCCGTGCCTCCACGATGTAGATGCCTGCCAGTGAATAGCGATTCCCCTGTCGGCCGCTTGGGTATCTGTGAGCGTGTCGAGCGCGAAGGGTAGGCTCTGTCTTGGGGAAAGCTGTCGGTCCGGTCGAAAACGAAAGGTTCGTCCTCAAAGTCCATTGCGGAGGCAGCTGCTGCTGGAAGGGAGAGATGCTGAATCGCCCATTACTGGTACTCGTGCTATCAGCATACCAAGCAGAGTGTCGCCAAAGCATCAACAGGACTCGGTGCAATGCAATATGTAATATGCTGACGCTGATGCAGTTCTTAGTTAGCGCTGCAGGTGGGCTGGGCTTGGCTGGATCTGCGCCGCCGACAGGGGTCCAGATCCTGCGTCGACATCTGCTCAAGCGCTTCTTCACCTCTGTCGCTGTCGCTGTCGCCATCTCACACTTCATGTCCTCGGCACGGTGACACTGATTGATTAAACATCAGGGGAGATTTCTGTTGTTTGGTGTTTCATGAAGGATGTTTGATGGGGAAAGTGCTCCTGAAGGCTTAGTCATTTAGCGTATGCACTCATGGAGGATATTTGATAGGGAAAGTACTCCTGAACGCCTAGTCATTTAGCGTATGCACAAAGGTCCGGAATGCTTGGCGCTGAGAATTTCCACACACATCACCAAGAATAGTAGGAAATAGCTGCATCTTCTCCAATATCCTATCTTTTTTACTACCTTCATAACAAGTGAACTTCCGATATACCTCGCTTAGCCACTTCTTAGTGTTTCTTCTTAATAACTTCACATGACTCTCAATTGACGTAATCAGAGGGCTCCCCCCCTTGGCGTCATCCTGTCGACGACAAAGGACACTTTTACAGCGCGCTCGCTGAAGTATATAAACACTCCAACCCCTATACGCTCCCCATCAATTTCTCATGACTTATACACTTCATCCCGTCACATCGGACGATGCGTCAGACATCGCGGCCATCTTCCAAGCTGCTTTCGCCGAAGGTCACATCATGAGATACTTCCACCCCAGGGTTCCCGCATCCGTCATATGGGAGAACGACGTCAGATTCATCCGCGGCCTCATCGCACAAGGTGATATCTACGGGGAGAGGGTGACCAAAGCTGTCGATGAGGACACCGGGTGAGGAAACCCGAGCCATGCCATGAGGGGCTAGATGTAGTCAAGTTATGTGCGTATGTTAAGAGAGGGGTTAGGGAGACGGTGGCGTTCTCCGCATGGCAGTATCCGTATACGCTCACGGAGGAACAGAGAAAGGAGAAAGAGGCACAGGATCGTAGCGCGATAGATGAGCCGCCAGAGGGTTCGAACAATCAGTTCATCACCGATTTCTGTACGCAGCTGTTTGATGGGAGGAAGAAGTGGATTGTACCCGAGAAGACATTCTGTGAGTGAAACCTTCGGCTATTTTTCGGTCCGGCAATGCAACCTTTTCGATCCTACAATTCTTTCGCGGTTGCAATCCGGCTACTCTATTCATCCTGCAAGTGACTCGTTTTTACGACCACCCTACACCCACGGCCCCTCCAGTCAGAGGTACAACTCAGGGTTCCCATAATTTCTTCCTCATCACACAATGTTCCAATCCCTTATCATCCCAAGACTGAACGCACATCTCAGTCCTTCACCTCCTCGCCGTCCACCCCTCCCACCACCGCCGCGGTCTCGGCTCCATGCTCATCCGGCCCGGCCTCGAAGCCGCAGACGAAGCCGGAGCCCAAACATACGTCGAAGCGTCGCCGGCTGGTCTGCCGTTGTACCTGAGACACGGATGGGAGCAAGTGGACGGGATGGCCGTTGACACGAGACCGTATGGCGGACGTGGGATTGAGCATAAGCCTTTCCTGATGAGGGAGCCGGGTGCTGGGTCGAAGCTTGGGAAGACGGAAGGATGAGGCGTGAATAAATTGCTAAAAGCCGTGCATTGCAATCGTACAATTCGTAAATCACGTATGACATCCTTCACTCAACACCCACGCTATGATAGCCTAGCCCATCCCATCCCATCATGAGTAACCCATACCCAGATACAGCCCCTATCATCCCCCAAAACCGCAATCACACATATCCACCTTCCCCTTCCCCTCCCCCTCCCCCTCCCAATCCCCATCTCACCACCATCCCACCCAACCGCTCAATCCGCCTTCGGCGCCATAGGCGGATACCGCGTCCCCTCCTTCTCGACCTTGGGCTCGCAGGTGCACCACGACTCCTGAGGAAGCTTATCCATGACCATAGGGACGTGCTGGCCGCAGCCCCACCATGAGGACTTTTCTGCAAGGAGGGTAGGTCAGAGGTATGAGCCGAGTGAGGGGGGGGAGAGAGAAGGGGGGATGAAGAGAAGAGGGCGCACGGCACTTGTCGCAGGTGCCGCCTTTGCACATGTTGGATGTTGGGAGGGTGAGAGGGGGGTGATGGTGGTGGTGGGGCGGTTGGGCGGGCTTTGTTGGTTGCGGAAAGTGGGTTAGGTGGTTTTGGGGAAAGGATTGGATCTTGTTTGACGTCGTTGAGCTTCCTCGGGTGGGATGGCCTCGAGCTGCGATTGTTGATCGATCAGGGACTCACGTGGTTGGTGAGTCTGGAACAAAGCGCAGGGAGGCTGCTGCCGCTTTTATCGGCGGGCGCTTGATGAGCGACTGTACCTTAAAGCGGCGGGTAGCAGTGAGAAATGCAGAGCCTCAGATGATACTAGCTGACGGCTTTTCCTCGGAATGAATTCTAGTGTGGGGACCAACTTTTTCCTTCCCACCGGACAGATTGGATTCTGTGACTCTGAAACCGACACTCAAAACAAGATCCTCAAGTTTCACGTGCCATCTGGTGTCTTCCGCCATTATGTGTAGTCCTTGCTTCTCTACTACGCCTTCATAACCTCATCAAGGCACAACACCACACATCATCCTCGGGAACTGCAGAAGCTTCTGAATCCCGGTCTCGTTTCCATGATACCTTTGCAAGTATATGCAGATCGCTTGACCCTCTAGCGACGCCCGCCCAAAAATCCACCAATGTGGATACTGGCACATCTTCGCGTACCAATATGCCAGCAGCAGAAGCGCACATGGATCTTTCTGCTTCAGTAATTGCTTGTACTCTGGGAGCATATTGGTGATGAAAAACAGAAAGCCCAGAATGGTGGTGAGCTTGCAGTCACTATTCAATGACTTTGCTAGAGCAGTTGCGACGGCGTGATAGGGATTGTTGTCGGAAGTGGATGCGGCGTCAAAACCGCAGAGGTCAATGAATTCGGAAGGCAGAGCCTCCAATCCAGGTACCGTGGAAGAGGATGTTTTCGGCTTCGTATTTTCAAAGGGAATCAGCGTCTGAAAAACGCTCATTCCTTCTGCACGTCGAGTAAGTTTCCACACTTCCTTCTTTCCCTCGCTCAAGCTGAGCCAATTGAGATCCAAAGACGAAGGTGGCTTGAGTGGCCACGCTTCCTCTGGCGTCCTTGCCTCAATATAAAAGAATGCTATTACACCGAGGCAAACCGCAGTAGCCCAGAGGGCATCTCGCTCCGAAGGGTCAATTGGGGCAGACAGCTTGCTGTTGAACAATGCTGTACTTTGATACCAATGAAAAGCCTCGGTAACGGATAGTTTGGTGTTTGGCGCGGCGGACAGGTAGCGGTCATGCATAAGTGTTAACGACAGTATTCCATGCATTAAGAACGGGTGCTGAACCGCCAAGGTCAGTAGGGCTCGCCAGACATGACTCTGGGAATACGTACTGAGTGGGCGAGCTTGAAGGATTCTATTTGATACAAATGGAGATTTTTGTCGGTGGTCATAGTGAAGACCGTTCTCGTTTGGAACTTCTTCAGCAGCGCTTGGTCCTCCTCTCTGAATTCATATAGCACATTGCTAGCTTTCAGAGATCCTGTCGACTGTAATCTCAATGACGGAGCGATTATGCTAGGAAGGGTCTGCTTCAGTGAGTATGGCAATATCTGCAAGATTTCGATGTTGGCAGCCCCGCCAACGGACAGCTGGAGATCAGAGTACTGGCTATCGTAATTGCAGAAAACGCCAAACGATGTGCATTTCTTGCATCTTGGCTTACTCTCATCACACTACAGGTGTGGCTTTAGTCAACGTTCTTTGTACGATTCCATAATCGTTTTGGCCTACCTACTTTGACACGGCGAAGCTTACAATTACCGCATCCCCGCCGAGACTTTCTGTGTGCCTTGACTTTGCGATTAATGTCTTTCTCAGATGAGGGCAACCCGTCGGTCATGACTGCGTCTCGAGAGGATATAGAAATGGTGGTGGGAAAATCGGTCTCCATGCCTATGGTCTTGAGTTTTAATCTGATAGAGGTTCTATCGGTGGACGTATGATACGACCAGAGCGAAACTGTCGCTATGATTATTGTCTAGGTCGATCGGCCTGCTAGCAGCAAGGTTTCTTCGCCGCAGCTCTGGCTTCATCTTGCTTACTACGTATACGAATACGCCTCTGGTCTAAAGCAGGGGACAGATCCCACGCTAACCTCGTTTCGCATTCCATGACTGCGCTAACCTCGTCTCGTATTCCACGATTGCGCTATCCTCGAATCGGCACGCTATTGAGACCGAGAAATCGTACTGCCTATCAATTGAGGCACTATCTTCATCTGAAATGACAATGACTCCATGAATACAACCAGTTCTCGCACACGGATGAACCTCAAGTCCGTCCGATCCCGAGTACTAATGTCCGAGAAGATGTTGATTATGTGGTATAAAGAGGCTTCTCCCTCGTCTTGTGTTTTCCACCATCAGAAATCCTCTCATCCTTTTACCATCTGAAACAATTCCGTTATTTCCACCTCTTCGCTCAAGCCCAGAATGCCTTCCAACAGAGCAGCATGGCAGACCGCACCAAACGTCAACACTCTGGAGGTCAAGTCCGCACCTTACACATCCCCACGTGAGGATGAGATCGTCATCAAGAACGTAAGTACTACTCAGAGTCATTCTCTCCCACGGAGTACCGCGTTTGAGTCGCGAGGGATGTTTGAACAATATCATGAAGGGGGAACGCTGACTTGGGATCTCCCTTCAGGGCGCAGTGGCCATCAACCCGGTTGACTGGGTCATACAAGAAAGGGGCAAGATGATGTTCACCTGGCTCAAGTACCCATTCATCCTCGGCTTGGACGTCGCCGGCGAGGTCGTCGAGATCGGCCCCGGCGTCACTCGCTTCAAAGTAGGCGATCGCGTCGTCGGCCACGCCAACGGATCGGATCAGCAGTGCAACAGCCCGGCGCACGGCGCTTTTCAGACATACACCGTCCTCACCATCAACGGGACATCGCCGATTCCCAGCGACCTATCTTACGAAAGCGCCGCTGTCCTTCCCTTGGGCGTGTCCACGGCAGCCTGCGGTTTATTCCAGAAAGACCAGCTGGGACTCCAACACCCATCCGCCACCCCAAAGCCGACCGGCAAGACCCTGCTCATCTGGGGCGGCTCCACGAGCGTCGGCTGCAACGCCATCCAACTCGCCGTCGCGGCCGGCTACGAAGTCATCACCACCTGCTCCCCGAAGAACTTCGACTACGTCAAAAAGCTCGGCGCGAGCCAGGCCTTCGACTACAACAGCCCGACCGTCGTCGCCGACCTGATCCGCGCCTTCGAAGGCAAATCGACCGCCGGCGCCCTCTCCATCGGTCACCGCGCCGCCGAGAACTGCCTGGACATCCTCCCCAAGTGCAACGGCGACAAATTCATCTCCATGGCCACGTACCCCCTGCCGCAGCCGCCACCGAAAAGATTCGTCGTCCTCACCATCATGGTTTCCTACCTCTCCGGCTTGGCCAACATCTGGGTCAAGTCCAAAACTCGAGGCATACGGTACAATTTCATCTTCGGCTCCACGCTCCTCTACAACGAAGTCGGCAAGGCCGTTTACGAGGATTTCCTCCCGCAGGCTTTAGCTGACGGCAAGTATGTCGCCGCGCCGGATCCGCAGGTCGTCGGGAAGGGGCTCGAGCACATCCAAGCCGGGTTTGACCTCCAGAGGAAGGGCGTGTCCGCCAAGAAGGTGGTGGTCTCTCTGTAATGTCAACAACTTACGACAAGATGTAGGAGGACGGCGCGGAGGAGGGGTCGAAAGAATAATGCGGGAGAGATCTTGGCTCTGCAAGCGTTTAATCAATGCCTTTTTGTCTCCTCCTGATTTGTACCAATTGTCTCAAAGGTAGCTAGCTACCCGTGAAAATAATCGCGTGAGAATCCATTCGTGATTTGAACGCCAGGACCGCATCGAGACCTCATGTCTGTCTTCCCGGAGAGCGAACGTCACAGAGTAAGGACATCGGATGCTTGCAGCTGTGTAGGGTGCCCTCATTCACACTCACCCTCACACTGTTATTTGTCACATAATCCAATCTGGATTACCAATTGGTAACCGAAAGCAACCTAAGAATGTAAGAGAAAAATAAAGCCTGTTGGTGTCAATCGTGGTCTAGTGGAGTAGTCTGTGAGAGATGGTCTGATTTCTTTAGCCGCCGTGACGGCGCAACGTGCACGCTTGTGACATCGGAGCAGCCCTTGTTGGTAAAATACTCTACAGTCCGTGAGCGGAGTGCTTCCCAGCACGAAGGTCGATGTCTTTTTGCTCTTGTTTCAATCGTTCATAACAGTGGTTTCATTACGCTATATATCTAAAACCCAGCCTACGGACTGTACTGCCTCACTGCCGAAAAAGCCTGATGTCTCCGTTCGTATAATTCGAGGAATGTTCAAAATGTCTGGCAACGTCACCTCTTTGGTTCCAAAAGCTTGTCTTGCTCTGCCACATGAGGATTCGTTGTGCGTGTTATCCTCGTGTCCGGAATCGCCAGAGAACTTCTGGCTGAGCTGCAATTGGCACAACGCTTGCCGCTATCAGTCCGTTCTGGAGCTAGCTTGATTCAAATGAGGTCGAAATCTTGCAACTTGACTCCCCGTCGCTTCAACATATCCGACGTCAATACTAGGGTCTCTGAACCATCGGGCAAATACCACACACTGCTTTCTTTGTCGATCTGGCCGCCTAGCCCACCTTTCCCCGTCCTTGGGTCATTATATTGAGTGTTCCCGGTCTGTTTGTCTAGGAAAGCCCACTGGTAACCGCGTGACCCATGATCATGTAAACGGATAGCTTGATAATTGTCCGGAAGTGGACCTAGAAAAGCTTCCCCGTACATCAGTCCGGGAACGTAGCATTCTCCCACTACTTGATATCGAAGACCTGAGGTTGGACGAAGAACCAAAGGCTGCTCGCAACCAAGAAGGACGCAGACCTGGTCGCCTGGCTTAGTGGCCTTTGGCGCAACGCCTATATACCCCTCTTCGGTCGTGATGAAAGATCTCTTCTTACAGTAATATCTAGCATAGTTGAGGTAGTATGTTTCATCAGAGTCCCAGGTATAGTTCGGATGTCGATCGTGGTCTCGGAGCACTGCCAGTACGAACTCTCGGCTCTTTTCGAATTGGGGGAGAACCGGCCGAGGCGGCCAAATTGTGTCGCTGAAGCTATTGACACACATGGTACTACAAAAAGCGTCGATCAGACTGCTACCTGCAAGGTATGGACTATCGTCGATGTAAAAACGCGCAATCCTCCGTATCTCATCGGCCATGCTTCTGTAAGTATTCTGAAAGACCATTTCATCAGCGCTTGAGATGGCTGCAGAGATAACACCTGTGGCGCTTAGAATGCCGCCTTCTCTGTATTGTGCTTTGGCCTCGCTGTGGCCACATGCCCTACCACAGCTCCAGAGGGGAACCGCTGTATCTGCGACAGTCCAGTTCGGTACCCAGGTTGGCATCTCCGCTGGCATGTCATTCCGGAGCTCGCAGTAAGTCAACATTTCGAGGTCGTTATGATGTTCGATGTGTCGTGTAACCACGTCTTGGTAGACTTGCGCGGTCGTTTTCGTATAATCAGGCTCGATATTGATGCCCTCTTCAAATCTGTCGAGCAGGCTCAGAACGGCGTAGATACGATCTTTGGGATCAGAACATTTGCATGGAGCGATTCGCCGGATAATCTGACCGAATGGGGCGTAGTTGGTAGTGTCGCTTATGTTTAATATATACGATAGTCGAGCTCGCAACTGGCTGGGGTCTATGAAGAGGTTGTTGGCGACCCATTGCTTGACATGTAAGCAGAAAATGGCCTGGTGGAGAGACTGCCAAAGGATAGTGTCCAAACCACAAATGACGATTGAATTGTTCCTTGCGAGCCGAATTTCCTGCCAAACCCAGAGCCGCGAGAACCAGGCGCGATTGAGCAAAGAAGCTATATTACAAATTTCATCGACGTTATATGGTAGGGAAAGGCTTAAGTCGCTCCAATCTGGGACGGAGTCTGAAGACGCAGGCGACATTGTGGCAAAGTCGTAGTCGACTTTGATCTCGGAACTCAATTGTGACAGGATCCTCAAAACGTGGGCACTATTGTCCTTCTCAGTCCCCAGCCAAACGACTGCGCGGTCAGCTAAGCGATAGATATCGGCCATTTTTTTCACTTGGCTGCTTCGTTCGCGAAGGTCCTGTTGATTGACGCAGATGGCATCGATCCAAAGTGTTCGAATCTTATCCTGGTACCGAAGATACGGCAAGGCAACCGCTAAGTTCTGTGTGATAGCCAGTCTGTCACTTCCTGAAGGCCCGATTTTGATGTCAACTGGATTGTCTGTTGTACCCCACACATAGGACAGCGCTTCGTAGATGGGCGGAGCGTCCAGCGTCAATCCGACTTTGTGGATTGAAATGTGTAGATCTGCGGTGAAGTCGCCTGGTTGTAGTATCAGGACTCGTATCTCATTGAGGTCTTCTTTGAGAGGAGAATATTGATATGGCGCCATTGTGTGAGAGGAATGCGGTGACGTTAGGTTGTTGATTCTCAAGGGAGAAAGAGGGGTAAGGTGGTGAGATGGCAAAGGCTACGAGGCTGAGCAAAGAGTTTGCTAGACCTCATTCGGCCACCGCGTGCATGTACCCAAGTACAGATGCCAGAGGGCAAATGCTCATTGATCGTAAAAATGTATTTACAGCACGGGTGCCAGAACCAGATTGAAACCATCGCTGGATCATCGCAAGAGCTAGAGATGGTATTGGCAGCAGGGTTCCTTCACCATCGTCAGCAAGGCGCCCGATAGTCCTGGACTATTTATCGGACTATTAGTCTGGACTAGTCTACTAAATCAATAGTCTAGACTAGTCCGATGATTTTATTAATAGTCTTAGACTAGTCTAAATATTTAATAGATTAATCTAGGACTATTAATTCTAATAATTTAATAATCGATTTATAAGTATATATTTTTAAGTCTAATAGACGTATTTTTAGTAGTAATCGAAGATTAGATTTTTTCTTTAAGACATATTATATAAATAGTTATTCTTTATTTAATAAATATATTATTATAATATATAAGTAAAGGCCTATAAATTAAATTCATAGAGTTGAATTTTTCTAAGTTAAATCGAATTTTAGCTCTAGTTCTAAGTTAAATCGAACTCTAATCGCTTACTATACGTTTTTAATCTATATACGAATATAGATATATATATACGAAGAGAGGCGCGCTAAGGCCTAATTAGGAAGGTATATTAAATATAAAGAATTAATTCGTAATAATTATCTATAAAAAATAGAGAAAGGCTATATTCTTATAGTAAGAAGTATTAAAATATCGAAAAGAAATAAAGATAATATATTAATTAGTAATATAAATTCTATATTATCTCTTATCGTAGTAAAATCTTTCGAATAATAAAATAGCTATTAGAGTAAGATATTAAATAATTTTAATTCGTCTAAATATATATTATTCGATATTTCTTCTATAGAGATTTAATTAGCTATAATTATCGTAGTAGATTCTTCTCTTATAACGTTATTATAGTAATATATTATATTAATATAATAGAGATAATAGATTAAGTTATAGTAGTATTCTTCGCTTATTAAATAATAATTTAATATAGAATCGTAGAGAGTATATAACGTAAGATCTTGAAGAGCTAAGCCGTATTCTTAATAATAATAATTTTATTACCGCTTAATTTCTCCGCAATATTCTCCGCAGTATTCTCCGTAGTGTTCTCCGTAGTATTCTCTATAGTGTTCTCCGTAGTATTCTCTATAGTATTCTTCACATTTATCTATTATAGTTTCTTCTCTTACTTCTTCTCTTATAAAATATTAGATTAAGTAGCTAGCTAAGTAACTAACTAAGTAAATAACTAATATAACGTAGAATCTTAAAGAGCTAAGCCGTATTCTTAACGATAGTAATCTTATTATTATTTAATTTCTTCATAGTATTCTCCGCATTTATCTATTATAGTTTCTTTTTTTACTTCTTCTCTTATAGAGTATTAGATTAAGTAGCTAGCTAAATAACTAACTAAGTAAATAATTAAGTAATTAATTAACGATTTAACTAAGTAGATTATTAAACTAATAGAATAGATAGTATTAATTAAGCGATTAAGAAATATAATTAAAATAAGATAATAAAGAACGAATTAAGAAGAAAAACGCGTCTTAAGAGATAGTATCGCTGAGTTAAAAGATACTATCGCTAGCTTAAGAGGAGTATATAAGAGAGAACGATGGCTATAAATCCGTTCGGGCTCTTTTTAAAGATCTTTTAATACGTTTATAAATAATAGTAGATAGCTATTAGACTCGCTTACGGCCTCGATTATTAATAATAACGAATTCGCTAAGAAATAGTTTAAGAATATTAATAAAAACTCTAAAAGACGAGTAAAAGAAGTATATATATCTAAAGCGTTTAATAACGTTTTCGCGAGAGATATTAAGAATAATTATATTTATATTAATAAAATTAATAGATTAATAGAATAATAAAAGAATAATAATTATATAAATAGATAAAAGAATTATTATTTAATCTCGAACGCGTTTAATATAATTATAATATTTGAATATTAGTTTAATTTACTAATAGTAAATTAAACTTTATTATTTTTACAGCGTTAGAAAGCGTAAAGCGAGCTCTATAATTTAAGAAATTATAAAATAACTATATCTATCGCAAGCTAAGTACCTTAAAGTATAAGACTTCTATATATAAATTTTTAATAAGAAGACGTAGAAGAGCTATCGGGCTAACTTAGCCGATCTAACTAAAGAGTATAATAATTCTAAATTAATAATTAACTATATATATAAATTTAAAATTTTTAAGCTTAACTTTATCTTATTCTTTTATATATATTAATAATAATAGCGATTTCGAGCTATCGAAGGCCTCTACTATTACTATCAATTTATTTAATATCGTTATAGAATCTATAGTCTTTAGTAGCAAGATTATTAAGCGTATATAAAATATTAACTCTTAAAGACTAGTAGTTCTTAATATTAAGCTAAAGAAACGACTTATTTCTCGAGTCTTAAACGATTATTTAATACTTATTAAGATATCTATTAGACCTATAAAAAGACTTAATAATAGATTAATACTCGTAAATAGTAAGGTTATATAGAAAATAACGTATATATAAGTAGATATATAGATAGATATTTAGATATATTTAATACTAGAGTAACTAAGATCTTTCTAGATATATAAATAATTTAAAAAAGATCTTCTAGCGCTAGAAAAACTCTTATATTTAAGCGATATACTTTAAAGTGAAAATAAAGCTATAGCTATATAGATATAAGTAAAAGAAAGAATAATAATATAATACTATAGTCTTATAATAAACTTACTAATCTATAATCTTACTATTATAATTAATACTTATAAATAGTAAGACTATATAGAAAATAATATATATATAAATAGATATATAAATAGATAATTAGATATATTTAATACTAAGATAGCTAAGACTTTTCTAAATATATAAATAGTTTAAAAAAGACTTCTCAGCGCTAGAAAAACTTCTAAAATAATTTAAGATATCGTTTAAAGAGGGCGAAGGTCTTAAAAAGAACTTTTAATAATATTTATTATAGTAAGTAGTAGAGATTAATAGTACTAGCGCGAATAGGCTAAAAGATATTAATATTATAGTAAATAGTAGATAGACTAGATAAATAACGAAAAGGCGATAGAAATTATCGACGTTATATATTAATAATATAGCTTCTCTACAAAAGAACTAATCTAAATAATAATTCTTAATATTAAATAATAGTCTCTCTGCGAAAGAATTAATCTAAATAATAACTTTTAATACTAAGTTATAATCTCTTTATAAAAGAACTAATCTAAATAATAGCCTTTAATATTAAGTTATAATCTCTTTATAAAAGAACTAATCTAAATAATAATTCTTAATATTAAGTTATAATCTCTTTACGAAAGAACTAGCGTAATAACTCTTAATATTAAATTACGATCTCTCTACGAAAGAATTAATCTAAATTATAACTCTTAATAGAGCTTTTCATCTAATATAAGACTTTAACGCGTATACGTTATCGCTTAATATAATAATCTAAATAACTAGAATAGATAAAATATCTCTCTAGTTATAATAGTTTAAATAGTCGAAGTAATAAGAATATCTTATAGTTACGATAGCTTAATTAGTTAAAATAATTAAAATATCGTAATAGCTATAATAGTTTAATTAATTAAAATATAGTAGTAATAGTTTAATTAATATATTTCTATAATTACGATAGTCTAAATAATTAGAATAATTAAAATATTCTTATAGCTACGATAGCTTAAATATTTAAAATAATTAAGATATTCTATAGCTGCGATAGCTTAATTAGTTAAAATAATTAAGATATCTCTATAACTACGATAGCTTAAATAGCTAAAATAGCTAAAATATTTCTATAACTGCGATAGCTTAAATAGTTAAAATAATTAAGATATCTTTATAATTATAATAGTCTCGATAGCTAAAGTAATTAAGATATTCTTAAAACTACGATAGCTTAAATAGTTGAAATAGTTAAGATATCTTTATAATTACGATAGCTTAAATAGCTAAAATAGTTAAAATATTTCTATAGCTACGATAGTTTAAATAGTTAAAATAATTAAGATATCTTTATAGCTACGATAGTTTAAATAGCTAGAATAGTTATAATCTCTTTATAACTGCGATAGTTCGATTAGTTAAAATTATTAAGATATCTTTATAGCTGCGATAATCTTAATAGTTAAAATTATTAAGATATCTTTATAGCTACGATAGTTTAAATAACTAAAATAGCTAAGATATCTTTATAGCTATAATAGTCTAAATAGCTAAAATAGCTAAAATATTCTTATAGCTATAATAGTCTAAATAATTAAAATAACTAAGATATCTCTAAGACTACGATAGTTTAAATAGTTAAAATAGCTAAGATATCTTTATAGTTATAATAGTTCGAATAGCTAAAATAATTAGAATATCTCTATAATTACGATAGCTTAAATAGCTAAAATAATTAAGATATCTCTATAACTATAATAGCTTAATTAGTTAAACTAGTTAAAAATCTCTCTAACTGCGATAGTCTAAATAGCTAAAATAATTAAGATATCTCTATAGCTGCGATAGTCTAATTAGCTAAAATCGTTAAGATCTTTTTATAACTACGATAGCTCGATTAATTAAAATAGTTAAGATATTTTTATAGTTATAATAGTCTTAATAGTTAAAATTACTAAAATATCTTTATAACTATAATAATTTAAACGATTAAAATAGCTAAAATATCTTTATAATTACGATAGTCTAAATAGCTAAAATAGCTAAGATATCTCTATAGTTATAATAGCTTAAATAGCTAAAATAGTTAAGATATCTCTATAGTTATAATAGTTGAGATATTCTTATAGCTGCGATAGCCTAAATGATTGAAATAGTT